TCAGATGAAGAGTTCCACTGAATATATCACAGATGTACAAACACTTTTTTATACTCTGTGGACTGTAGTCATAGCAACGACTTCCGTCAAATTTCATTCGGAAAATTCCAAAATAAATATTTTTATTTAAGACATATTATAAATTACTTATAATAAAAAATAAAAAAAGGAAAATATTTTTTTTATACCTAAAATGACATAAATTTATGGCAGATCCATTTTTAAGGCTAAGATACTTTAAAGCTTTCAATTTTACTTCCGATTGCTTGCAATTGCTATTGTAAGATTATTACTTTTACTGTCGTAGATTTTTAGTAAATTTAGTTAATTATAAGAGTTAAAATCATATAGTCTAATTTTAATACAAATTCTTGTATACTGTACCTCCACTTGAAGTCTCATGCCCGGAATTTCTTTTCTTTGGTGATGTCTTCGACGGCGTCTTTTCACCCGGTTTTGTTGGACTGCAATTTAGATGGAAAAACAATTTTACTAATATTATAAATACGAATATTTGGATGGATGGATAATTTCTCCAGAACGGCTGCATAGATCTTGCTAAAATTTGGCATAGATGTAGTACATACTGTAGAAGAACACTACCAATTAAGTTTGCGGGCGACAGCTAGTATTCATATTCCACTTAGCACGTGAGCGCACGTGCATGTTCATACGTACACGTGTATAAGCACGTGTGTACATACCTATCTTCGTGGTGCATGTTGCCAGCAAGTAAGGTATCATCAGGTGGAGGTCGGCGCAGCGGCGCGTCGTCATCTGACCCTGAAGATGTCGCGGAGCCGTTGGCGAGCGGTGTTGAGGTGATCGGCTTGTTCTCCTTAGACTCTTCGTCCGTTATCGCCATACTCGTGTCTTTGAATGACTGCAAATTATTTATTTAGTAAATAAAATAACCTGAACAAAGGTTATCTTATTGTAGATCGATTATAAAAAACCTAAAAAATATATTACTGTAAAAATAGGGTAGATTTTAAGGAGTTTAACACAATTAACCATTGGTTTCTGACACCAAATTTTATGAATAAAACATACCGTCAACCCTGTCTTTGACAAAACAAACATAACAATATGTTTGAAACTAGGATTTTGGCCTCGGAAACCCACGGTAAGTAAAAGTGTAATTTTACCTTTTGCGATGTCCTCTGTCGCTTCACAACCAATCCTTTAGACCAAGCGTTCATCCTTCTTCGCTTCCGCTTCGCCGACTGAGATTCAGACTTCTCTCCGTTCTGCGGCGTTCGTAGATTCTTACTGTCATTTGCTGTTGAATCGAAACCCTCCGCTGTGAATACAATAAACATATTATTTAAAAAAGAAAACGACTAATACAGTGCTATCCAAACTTTACAGCAGCTTGCTTCGTATAAGACACTAGACTGACTATAAATGGGTCGTAAAGGAAAGAGAGAGAGGGAGAAAAAATAGTGGGGACCGGAAATGGGCAACAACTACAAGCAACCAACCACAATAAAGTTTGAATCTTATAATGTTGTATTTATTAACTTACGTAAATTAGATGCTGTATATATAAAGTCCGGTAAATCATTGTCTTCATGCAGGCCTTCCTCTCTTCGTTTTTTAGCTATATCCTGACATTCAAGTTCAAAGTCGCTGTCCATTTCAACATCGATGAGCGCATGCGCATGATCACGCAGCGAGCACGCCTCGTGACGTATCTGCTTGTCTGATGACGTCCTGTAATACAAACATACATACAACATACATACATACATATAATTTTTGTATGGAATAAAAGTTAATTTATAATCTTTGTGAGAAATATGCAAACTATTAATATAAGCGATACAATTTGAAAATTTGTATGGAACCTAAAAAAAATCTTGTTTGACTTCTATGATTTTTAAAACCTGATAGAGAAGAATAATATTGTTTATGATTATGCGTAAAACTTAAAATTATTTAATTGTATGATTTATGACTACGACTCAAAAGTACTTAATGTAATATTAAACATATATATATATATATATATATATATTTAAGATTCTTTAAGAATCTAACAGAATCGATTTTTTTATACTCTACATGTAAATATATTATATATATGTAAATACGGACAAAAGGTTAGAGGATGTAAATAAAGTACATACAATAGTTAAATTTTAAATTTAAAACATTTAAACTAATATTTACGTATATATTTCGAAGAACTACAACAAAATCCAAGTGTCCATACCTATACATTCCTCTAGCCCTTTGAATGGCACCGGGGAATGTGGAAAGAGAAAAGAAAATGATGAAACAAAACATTAGTACACACAAAATTAAATCATGAGAAAGATTGATTTCATAAAAAAAAACGAAAACATCCAAGACTCAATTAAATCTAAAAAGTATGAAAATATCTTACTAATAAAAAAATTATATTAAAAAAAATATAAACGAATTTTGTATAAGAAATTACTCAAATTGAACTTTTTTTTATATATCATAAGGTAGCAAACGAGCGAACGGCTACCTTAAATCGCTGAAATAGCGTAGTGACCGTTGCCCATAGACATACGCAACTGCATATGCGTTGCCTACCTTTAATCGACGGAGGAGAGGATGCACAGAAAGAAAATATTTTCCCTTCCCATGCATCCTCTCATCCGGAAAGTCCACTTCCACTTCCCATGCTTTCTTTATAAGAAAAAGGATGGGAAGGGAAAGAGGACTAAATTAGGCCTCTGGGACAACTACAAAATTAATGTTAACATATTAACAACAAATATTTCAAATACCAAAAGAAATTATACTTTTCAAAGATAAATTAAGCCTTAGTTATTAAAACCATGTATAAAAATAATCAAGTATCAATGAATAATGACGTCACTACAATACAACGCAAGCGCAGGAACGTATAATGGAACGAATGAAAGGGACAGCATGTGTCGTAGTCACTGACCTCTATAAATGTACTGGCTATAAGACGAATATTTTGTGACTATTTGATTTTCGTTACTTTGGCGATGATACAAACCAATACCGGTTCATAGCGGTGTTGTGGATTCGAACTAATAATATAGATAGAATTAACTGTCACGTAACATCAAAAAGCGCGTTTCAATTGGAACGAAGCAAAAGCTGTCATTCGCAAGCAATCGCCTATCCATTTATAGAGAGTCTTAGTACAGTTGTTACGAGAATATCGTTATCGCCGCAGCATTTTTTTTAAATATAAGGCATAAGTCTCACCTATCAGGGTTATACTCTAGTGCGTTTGCGCAAATAAGATCTATGTCGTCAAGAAACTCCTTGGCGCAGTTGTATTTGTGCATGTCCACTTTCGTCATCATCGTCTCCAGGTCCATCGGCTGCTTGACGATATCCAGGTAGTCTGTCACCTAGCACATAATAATCTAAATGAAAATGATTGATAATTTTAATTGCTGGATCATTGCAATAGATGGCACTGTATTCAATTGAGATTTTTTGTTCAAACCAAAGTATGCCTGGTTAGTTTAAAATGAGTTTTAAGTCAGTTGAATTTTATAAATTAATTGATTGGACCACTCTAAGTGATCCTTAAACTACATCTACACTAAGGGACACCCTTCATTCTTAGTCTCCCCGAGTACGACAAGAAAGGTATTGCTGCTTACCTCCTCAAGGTCAACAGGCTTAGTGAACTTGTAGAAGCGCCTGTTGGAGGCGAGCTTGCGGCATATGTCGCGCAAAAAGATGCGCAGTTCGCGCAACTTGTAGTCTTCTTTGCGCTTGCGCCGCGCAACTTCCTCGGCGGACTCGCGGGGCGGGGGCGGAGGAGGCGCTAAACATTTTTTTTATATTGTAGGATTCACAGGTAGATAAATTTGCCCGACCGATAGAAGGATGTTTTTACCCCAAATAACAGGATAGTAATGTTATAACAAATAAACAAATGGATAATTTTTCTGATTGAATCATGCGATTCATATTGTTCCATGAAGTGCATTAAGGAACAATAGATGGCGTTGTACTTATTTTTAATAAAGATCTAAACATTATCAAATATTACCTCTGGGTAATGGTGGTGGGGGTTCGTTGTTCTCAATGAGGGGCGGCTCCAGTGGTACTTCAGTTATAATCGGCTTAAGAAAACAGATAACTTCGGAAGCTGTAGGCTCTCGCATACGATACACGCAGTCTTTATACACCGGGAACAATTCTTGTAGCTGTATTTAAAAAAAAAAAACTAATTTTTAATAGATTAGAAATTTCGTACACGGAGGCCAATACGATATTCATTTTCTTTTTTAGTTATATTTGTCTGTGTGTATATCGTCCACAAGACCGCGTTTGTTCCGGGTATTCTCCGGAACAGATGAACCGATTTTGACGGGACCGATTTTCACAGGAAAGTAGCTAATGCACGCGGCATATTATAGGCTACGACTTTGATAATAATAGTTTCCGCGTAAAAATATGCACCTTTGTTTAAAATATTTTAACATTGTATTAAAAATGTTACCTCTTGGGGTAGTTCTTCATGCGGCACTGATGCAGTCGCGAGCATCATGGTATTATGTCCGGCGGCGCGCGTGCGCCACAGCTGCAGCAGCAGCGCGCCGCTGTTGCCTGCCCTCAGGACCGACCACACCGACGTCAGGTCGCGGATAAATAGCACACAGCCGCGGTCCGTGCGACGACACTCAGAGAATAACTGCAAAAGATTTCTCCATTAACTTTTTTCGATAGACATAACATTTTGTATAATTTCTTTATTTAATCTAACTTTGTTTTTTTTTATTTTTACCCTGATTATAACCACTGTTGTTCGCATAGCAACCAAATTATTAATCTAAATAGAAATATTAAATTATCCTATTATAGCAAGTTTACTCGCTTGGCTATAATCTACGTCAATAATACAAAAACATAACACTAACCGAAGTTCCCTAAGCGTAGATTAATATAGTCGTTAATGGGGCCCTTAGTGTACATTAAGAGCCCCATTAAGTGAGCAATTAACCAAGTTAGAGTGTTAACTAAGTTAACTAACAGAGATAAGCGCCTGTTCCTGTGTGAACGCGAGGGCGGAGTGCAGCGTGGCGAGGCTGAGCTCCCGCACCGCGCAGTGCTCCAGCTGCGCCAGCAGCGCCGGCGCCAGCTGCGTGTCCGCACACTCCCCGCTCACCAGCACCACGCCCCCGCACATGCCATCCTCTGACACCTTCGTAGTGCTGCATTACAAAATTGACATATATTATAAAGCACACCGCGGTTCAAGGTCACTTTGCATCTTGTTCTACGACTCGTACGACATCTATTTCATTTCAGTATACTTTTCCGTCGTGTAGCATCGATGACTCAGGGGTTAAACACTTGATTTGTAATCTGTAGAACCTGGGTTCAGATCCCGCCGTGTACCAATGTGATAATCGATTTATACATATTTACGAATAAATTCGAAGATATGTTTAAAGTTAGACAATGTTTAGTTATATAACCTGTCGCGCGGTGCGTGCATACGCAGCAACAGCGTTGCGGCACGTAGTTGTGGCGCGAGCAGTACGTGCTCGTGCGGAGTCAGACGGCGGGCGGGCGGCGGCGCGCTCCGGCTGCCCGCCGCCACCATACCCACCATACCCCGCTCCAGATCCTCCTGCTGCACTTCCACCTGGTATAAATTAGATATTTGATATTGTTTTTATTTATAACATTAGGTAGCAAACGAGCAAGTGGCCACCTGGATTCACCAAAATAGCGAAACGACCGCTGACCATAGATATCCGCAATTGCAGATGCGATGCCTTAAATGGAACGAGAGCGCACATAAATATTTCCACTTCCATCCCTCCACCATCAAATCATCTTCTCCTTCCCATCTTCTCTTTATAAGTAAAAATAATAAAATGTAGGCCTACAAAATATGACATAAACCAGAACTGCTACACTTAAGTCTACAAGTTTTTCAAGACATCTGCTGAATGCTGAAGTGTCCTAGGATCGAATATCGAACCTTCACTTAGTAAACGAGACTCCAATGTAGCACATGTCTGAGATACGTCAAGTTGTACACAGGTTAAAAAATTTCATGTCATTTAGAATTACAAAATAGAATTTTACTTACATTTTTAGGATCGATAATAAGTGCGTGTTCACTCTCGTACACTTGCGGATACACTCTCCTTAATGCTCGTAATACGGCTTCTGAACATAGCGCCTTTAAGTCGGAACCTGGAAACAGTGGCGATGTTAGGGCATGGCGTATGCAGCCAAAAGGAGTGTCACAGGTTTGCGAATTACTTAGCTCTGTTAACTAATTCTCTCCCCACTCAAGGGTACAAAAACAGGGCACTATCGAAATCTCGCCCGGGGCACTAAAGCTAGTATTACTATTGCTTGTAAAAATTGCTTCATAAGGAGACCATACATGTAACATAAGTTACCAATCTAACTAATTCTGGACAGAGGTGTGCGGACATATTTGAAACTTATTTCAATATTGAATATTTTTTTGATTTCGGGAAAATACCTTTCGGACTTAGTCAAATCGGCTAATTAAATCCATACAGTTTAAGGAAAACTTCTGTATACCTGCGTATCCATTGGTGATATCAGCTATATGATCCAGAGTGTCATCAGAGGGTCTGGGGTTCCATTCCTTGGTGTATATATCGAGTATGTTGCGTCGTGCGGCTGCGTGCGGGGGAGGGAAGTACAGCTCCTTGTCGAAGCGTCCCGCACGGCGCAGCGCCGGGTCCACCGCGTCCAAACGATTAGTCGCACCTATTATAATCACCTCGCCTCTGTATAAAACACATTTACTTATTTTTAATTACAAAGACATTAAAAATATCTTCAAATGTGATATTATGGCCGGTTTCTGAAGATTCGTCAAGTCATAATTCAACTTGTTGGTCAATCTCGTCGATATAAATGAGAATGTTTGAATGGATGGATATTCTGTTTTTATCATTTTGAATGGACAGTCACGGACAAAAGCTAGTAGTATATTATAATTTCTAGACCAATCAGCAACTGGGTTAAGTTTCAATACCTATCACAGAGTCCGTCCATTTCAGCGAGCAATGTTCCCACCACACTGGTGTGTACTTGTTCCTGCCGCACGCTGCGCACTGGCGCTAGTGCGTCTATCTCGTCGAAAAATATTATTGATGGCTTCATTTTATTCGCCTAAATAAAAAAAAACATCGATATATAATCGTTTGAAACACATATGAATAGTTTACGGACAGTTTACATTGCTTGTTTGTTACATATGAAGAAGTATTTATTATATTTCTACTCGAAACCTGACGATATCCCTCAATAATAAATTATTTTAATCTGATTTAATTATTTGTTTGAAAGTTTAGATGGATGGATGTTTGTTAGAAGATATCTCTGGAACGGCTCAAGGGATCTTGATGAAATTTGGCATGGAAGAACATGTAAGCTACTTGTTAAGGTTCCTTAACATTCGCACGGACGGAGTCTTGGGCGACAGCAAGTATCTATATAAACTTACTTGTTGAAACAACAATTTGAGATGTCTCTCACTTTCACCGACCCATTTCTTCAAGCAATCCGCTCCTTTCCTCATAAAGAAAGCGACTTTCCTTCCTCCAACAAGACTGCATTCATTCGCTAATGCTCTGGCTAACAATGTCTTGCCTGTACCCGGAGGTCCGTGGAACAAAACACCTTTTGCTGGTCGAGTTTTAAATTGGTTGAATAAATCTGGGTACATTAGTGGAAATAAGACCATTTCTCGTAAGCATTTTATATGTTCTTCTAAACCTCCCACCTGCAAAAATATATGTTATTATTAGAGTTAAATTGAAACAATTCAAGTGACTATATATCCATCGAGAAAAAAAAACATATTTTGTCAAAACGTATTTGATGATAACAAAATAAAAATAACAGTTTATTTTTGTCTGTATGTATGTCTGCAAAGCAGCGTTTGTTCCGAGTAATCTCTGCAACGGCTGGACTGATTTTGACGGTACTTTGACGAGAAGGTAACAAATGCACTGAGCATATTATAAATTTATTTTTTATAGTGCGCATACGAAGTCGCGGGCGACCGCTAGTAAAAATAACAAAGAATTAGAATGAGAATAAGACTTGTAGAATAACTCACTGAAGTAAATCGAACTTTTCCATCAAGTTCAACAGGTTGTATATCCCTCAGTGCTCTGTCAGTCTTCTTATCGTCCATAGATTTTGACTTTTGTCTGAAATCAACATTATTTCTATACAATAAGGTTCATTTTACCATGACGATGGTATATTTAGATGAAGGAACGTACCTGCCCTTTGTTTTGTTTTTCATAGAAACATTTAAATCCTCTTCTGTATCGGAACTGGATGTACTACTACTGCTACTGGTGGACGGTGATTGAGCTGCAAATAAAAAAAATCACTTTAAATTGTCCTTAATACAGCCCTAAAAACATTAATTAATTTAAAAAATCTATTAATAATGTTAAAAGATTCCGGGATACTCAAAACATATATGAACTGAAACTCACATCTAATTGTTTTTCTACGTAGAATTTTTGGTTTTCTCTCTCTTAAACTATATGGTTTTTTTCGTATTGTAAACGTTTTGCCTGAAAAAGATAAGACATTACATACAAACTTATACTTCCTAAAATCTATAGAACATCGGTGGCTCAGGAGTTAAGCAGTTGACTTGTAAACTGCAGATGCTGAGTTCGAGGCCCGATATTCAATTTACTTATGCATTATAATTATGTACATTTATCCGACGTTCTTACAATGAAGTAAAACATCTCAATGCAACATATGTACATATCTACAAATAAATTCAAAGATATACAAGTCAAACCGCACTGGGCTAGCATGGTTGAATAAGGCTTAGTCACCCCAGTCGTAGGGTAGGCCGTGCTCTTCAGTGGGGATGTTAAGCTGATGATGGTGAATTAAGTGTAACATCTTTACCTCTGCCCTTGGTCTCGCGAGGTGCGATCTGCACGAATGCCGGCTTGGGTTTTCTGGTGCGCTTGGAGCGACGCGGCTGCCGGCCCAGCGCTAACTCGCTCGACGATTCCGACGACGAGCTCTCTGAAGCTGCAACAATGTGTACCTTAAGTCATCATGTTACAGCCGCGACCACCACGCGACAACCACGCGTTGATGTTGGTAACTACGAGTAACAAACGTACAGTAGCTTCAAATATGTTGCTTCACTTCATCATCATCAACCTGCCCTTATCCCTATCGAGTGTCGGCACTGTATGTACTACTCCTCCATACATCTCTATCAGCCATCATATCCGAGTCTACCCCCTTATTACGCATATCCTCTTTCACACAGTCATTCCATACTTTTTTGGTCTTCCTATGTGTGATATGTGGCTTCACTTGTAGAAAAATAATTTATAACTACTAATATATTTCTACAAATCAAAATGAAAGCAAATCTATACAAATTTCCCCATTTTGCAGAATGCATCTTTTAATAAATTATAAAACCTTCCAGAAATTTTTCACAGCCAAAATACCGTCTGTTATCTTCAACCGCATGTTAACAAGAACTTAAATTGATTTCTCGCATACAAACATATAATTTTATAAGAAAAATATTAAAAACGAAAAGTAAACAATTCAAAAAATTCTGTCAAAAAGACAGCTGATATTGACATAGAATAATCCTCAAAATCTGACATTGACAGATGTAGTTCAAAAGAGGTTCAATTAAATATAAAAAAAATTTAATAACCTACCCCATAAAATTCAATGAGATTGTAACTGTATCATTTTATTCTAATATTAAATAGGTACAGAAAAACTATACAAAAATGGCTATAGAAACGAAAATAGCGTAAATTGTGGTTAAAAAAAAGTCTAGGTTTTACCTGTGTCATGTTGACTGTCTTCTTTCTTTTGCCTTCTCCTACCTCTACCTTTACCCCTTGTCGATCTTGCTGGTCCTTGATTGCTAGAAAAAATCAACTCTAATCTTACTAATATTATAAACGCGAATGTTTGGATGGATGGATGTATGTTTGAAGATATCTCGAGAACGGCAGGATGGATCTTGCTGAAATTTGGCATAGATGTTGAACACAGTCTGGAAGAACACATAGGCTACCAATTATTCTTGATACCACGCAGACGGAGTCGCGGGCAACAGCTAGTAACATAAATATCAAATATTGCTGATAACTGGCTGTCCCATGTCGATATACTTGTATAAAAACATATCAAATATCTTTGTTGCTTGGCTGTGTGTTTTAAATGATATTGAATTGATACGTCTTGTCTCTATTTTATTCAAAAAGAGTGAAAGGGATGACTATATATGACAATATAAATCTTACTACTTTTAAACAATAATAACTTGAGCAGCACCTTTCACTATCCTGATTTTGGTTGGATTGTTCCGGATCACTCTTATTTATCGTCTTTTTAACATCTTCCTTGTCATCTATATCTTTTTGTTCCTGTTTATTTTCCTGCTGAGGTTTCTTTTCGATCACAGTTTGATTGTTTTCATCTTCCGATTCCGACTCTGTTGCATCCTAAAACAAAATAATAAATATTTTATATGTACATTTTATCAATTCGCTTCAGTAGTTTTTTAGTTCATTTAAGACAAATAATGCCTCAAGTGAACTCAAAAACTACCAATACTTTTGCTGTGTCTTAACTTACAGTTTTTTTTTTTTCTTTAGAAACATACCTTTTTATTATTAAACCTTGCTGATGTTCTTCTTTGTCGTGATAATTGCGTGTCTTCATCTATATTGGTTGGTATATGATTTTGAGGCTGAAATTATAAAATTTCTAGCTACAGACCAAGTCTATGTTATAGGAATAATTTCAAAACTTTATATATAAACAAACTCTATATATCTAAAGCATACTTTTAAGCAGTCAAAAAAATTACATACCATTTTCTTATTGGTAACTACAGCCTCATCACCTGAACTGAACTCATCTGAGGAACTAGATCCATTGAAGCCGTAGAGGTCGGGATAGCCTTTCACCTTCAGCTCATTGGTGATCCAGCTCTCGTTGAAATTGTGGTGCAGGAGCTTGCGCTTGCGGCAGCTCCGTCTCACATCTGAGAAAGAACCTTTAAGCTCACACATTACACCTACAATAAATAGAAAACCAAAAATATACAATATAGCTTCACCACTTCTAAGTTGAAGTATTGTAAGAAACAATCTTACTTATATTATAAATAGTTAGTAAATATAATAAAGTTTAGATAGATTTTTGTTATTAGGTAACTTGAAAACTGTGAAACAGACCTTGATCGAGTGTGCACAGATGACAGTTTGAAATAGTGCAATAACTACGGACAAAAGCCACTTAATAATACAAATAATTAAGGTGCGTTAGTACCGAGCCAATTGGAGGATTCTGGTCTGCCTAACTCCTCAGGTATGAGTTACGTTAATGTTACGATGTAAATGTAATGTTGTTGTTGTATGGACACTTTTTTTTTATTTATAAACTTACTTAAGATGAAAACAGAATAATTCTTCTTGAAAATTTTAATGTAACATCAGTAAAAGGTTGCCGTTTACCCTATGCTATTATTATTGAAAAATCTTCGATATATTTTTTTTAATTACCAACTTACTTTGTTGTATTGGTTTATCTTCGCTATCTTCCATATAATTCTTCCTGGGTCCCCGATTGCGTCGAATTTGCATACTCCTGTTGCTGGACTCATTGTCATCCGCAAAGAAAACACGCACCTGACGGGACCTGGTTTAAAATTACCTTATAAATAGAATGAAAAATGCACACAAAACAGGTAAAGGAACAGATAAAATTCATTTTTAATAACCAAAAAGTTTTATTACAAATACTGCATAGTTTTTATGTCTTTCAACCAGGATGTACGATAATTGTTGCTTTGGCCAGTCTTATATTAAGAATAAACATTTTGAAACTTACCTTCGTGAATATTTCTCAGGTTCTGTATCACTTTCAGGAAATACTATTTGTGGCATCCTTATTCTTCTAAGTCTGTTCCGGCTATCTGTGTACAAAAATATTTTTTACGTTTACAAGGCATAAATTTTCATATAACCTTTGTAGTTATATTTATCATTTTTCATAACTTCAATGTTTAGTAATGTTAGGAAGAAAACCAGACACTGTGCTGGTGTACTAGCACAACACTAGCCTTACTAACATGTCGATATTTACTAATAATTCTGACACTTGACTTGGTAATTAAAGTGCACCATTTGTGCCAAAGGATAATAGAGATAATTATACTACTTATAGATTTGTAATTATTGAGTTAGATTCAATGATTCCTTTTATAAAAGAGAACTATTTTTAACATTATTTTATTTAAATATGTGTCTTATTAGACATTATTTCTGTCTATCCAAATTCACATAGTTCCATGACAAAAAACTTTACTGTTTTCCGATATAGGCTCAGTACATTTTTGAATTAATTTGATAAATTTAATTTAAATTACTTTTTATTATTTTAATGGCTCTTTATAGTATAAGTATTATTGCTTATATAATGACTCAATGTTTGTGTTTTAATGTGACTTATACTTACATTTTGTTGGCCAGTGTTGTATTTTTCTTTTAACTTTATACTGGCTACTTCTTAGCTCACGAGGAGACCAATTTGATGCCTAATTAAAAAACAAATTCACATAAAAATTGCAACCATTGACAAATGTTACATCATATTTTACTAGTACAGAACAAAAGTTTTTTCACTGTTACACTCATGCACTACACATCACCATGTAAGGAAGGCAAACTACATTGAAGAATATTTTGTTTGATGACATAATTACAATTTATAAAAATCTAGAAACCTAAACACTAATCATTTAGAGAGGCCCTAAGCAGAAAGCATTGAAATCCCATGCAATACAAGTTCAAGCAAACGCTTTATATGCTTTAACTCAGTAATTTATAAGTAACAGGAAGTTGATTTCTAAAGGGTCATCCTAACAAAGCAATCGTGCAAACCGCTCAATATCGAAACAAAATCATTTTATGGTGTTCACCTTCTCGTCAGAGACGCTGACAACGTCGTTTAATGTAAAATTCCCATCTTCTACCTCCCCATTCTCTCCATTACTGCGTCGGGTTTTCACCATAGCAGTGGTTTCTATTATGTCGTAAAAATACGATCAGGCCCTTAACAGACTTATGTAACAGACATAAATTGTAAGGTAAAATCCGAAATAAGAAGTTGAAATGACCAAACACTCATTTAAAAGCTCAGGCGACAAAGGGCGAACGTTATCGTCCGCACATGTCGCTACTGAACGCCATGTTAATCAGAAAGCCGTGTAGACCCTACAGTCATTATAATTTTGATGTAATTGAATTCAGCGTGATCATCATTTTGTTGTCGCTTACCTCACTTATTCTAAAACCAAGGTTTAACACAAGCAAAGAATTTTTAACTTAATGATCGATGATTTCAAAATGAATTCACAATCACTGTTTATTGACAAGTGTCAAAAATTCCCGCAAATTTGACATTTTTCCGAAGTCCGAACAGTTCCGATACACTTGTACAGCACACAAAAATTGGCCCAGATGAATAAAGCTATATATTATTTGTTGCTTAAGTTACTACAGCAAGATAATCATCACTTTCATAGTTTTTAACGTTTAGGTAAAAAAAAAGCCTCGATAATACGTTTTAAACAACATTTGCATTATTATCGTTTTGAGCTAATGTACAACCCAAAGAGTATATAAAATACAACCCTTATATCGATTACCGATGTTCGGCTGTCATCCAGTTGTCACTTGTCAAAATCTAAAAAAAAATCAAAACAAGTTTCAAAGTTTGTTGTTTTATTAAAGTCTTGGCTATTTTAAGTTTAAGAATTATTTACGTTTTTCACCGATTTTGTGTATATCAATATTAAATTATAATCATTACCGATCATGTCAGAAAGCCCGAGTGGTTCATTATCACCTTCACAGAATGAGAAAAACATAACCGATAACTCAATACAAAAACAAGGGGATGGAGACATGGACGAAGATATCTCAGCTCGTATGACAGCATCTTACAGTGAAATATCATTTAATTCTGATCATGGACAAGGAAGTGACGACCAAAAGATTGCTGGACCCTCAAGACCGTATGATTTACCATCTGAAAATCGTCGACAAGATAAACTTCCACTTGACATAGGTGGCCACGTACGTTACGAAGGTGATATGACACACTATGTTGCGGATGACCTTGAATTTAAAATCAAACTCTCTAGTCCTATTGCTAAAAGAGGAGAGACTCCAGTTTTTGGTAGTTCTAGTGTGTCCAGATCCAGTACCCCTTCTGGTAAATTATACCGCCAGATTTTAGCTCCTCAAATTGGCCAAATTGATATAACAGTATTAAATGACTTAGAATATGAAGCTCAAAAAATAGCTCAATCCGTTGACAATTTAATAGAAAATTTGTCAAATATATTGCATGCTAATTCATCACTTACTGCAGAGAATATGGATGTGTATAAAGATGCTGTTGGTAAAACATGTGATGCAATGGATAACAATATAAAAAGTATGTATACTATATTAGCAAAAGGTGAAGAAGTTTCTCAAGCTATGATTCCAGTTCAAGCACAGGCAGCAAGAATTGCAGAAATAAAAAGATTGCTGCAAACTTTTGAGAACAATTTTTAGGTATAAGTGGATAGTGTTTCCAGCTGAAATCTTAATTAAAATAAATTACTGATCCCTTTATCATGCCTGAAGCGGCTAAGAAGAAAAGTGATAAAAATATTTATTCTGATATTACTACTTCAAACATTCAAAATGTAGATGCTGCTTAGCACAGTGTTGTCAATAAGATAACATAATAACGTAATAAAATGGGTGACAGCATGCAATTTATAAATATTGTGCATAAAATAATTTGGAAATGTGGATGTGTTTGTAAATAAGGAGCAGTAACGTAAAATGATTATTTTTGTAGTAAGAGTTTATTGAATTGAAGTAAAGACTTGCATTTCTCACTTAGCTTTTATAACTCTAAAGTGATGAACATTGTTCTCACAGTGCAGTAATAGCAATTCAAATTAGAATCTAAGAAATTATTGATTCATAAGGCTTCTTTATATATTCTGCACCAATGTATAATATTATTATAACTTTTAATAAATGTTTTTAGCTGTTTTATTACACTATATCTTATGGCCATAAAATGGAACCTGTTCCATGACACTATAATCATTATACATGCTTAATGTTACAGTATTAAAAGTTAGGTTTGTGGAGTATTTGTAAATCAGATTGTTATACCCTTTATCTTGTCACTAATACTATCAAAAACTGTTTGTTTGCTAACTGAATGATTTTCTTATGTCCATGAGTTAGCAAATTGCAAAATTATTGTCTGTCGTCAGAAAATCGATTTTTTAAATCGATTTCTAAATGAAACTCCTGTGTTGCTAGATTCGCAAACTCTTGTCAATGCAGTCGCGCTCTGCCCGCACCCCGCTCACCGCTTATTTGATTTTTGATTTTGACAGTTCGCTTTCGCCTTTTGCCATGTATGGTGGGAAATCGTTTGGGGTGGTTGAAATATATTAGATTTCTTTAAAATGTGTTACAGAAAATTTAAGTATGAGTTACCAGCATGAATCTTAACATTATTTTAAGATTAAGCGTAATGTTATTGGTCTCATGACCATTTAACTTTTAACTCCTATCGCGTTAGTACGTAGGGCAAATGGGTGACGTTGTAAGCTTATTTTCTGTGATAATAATGAAATTTAAATCTAAGTTCAACCAGAGCAAAATTTATTTCCATTACGATGTACCATGGGAAAAACTAAAGTCAGTTAAATGGATGAACGAGCGAGCTTCTGCTAACAAGGCGTATGTACCGACGACGGTAAGTTATTTTTATATTTACATTATTCCATTATTAGAATGTTTTTTTACAAATGTTTTAACTATGACCAACTAAGAATTTATTTATTTTATTAAGTAATTAAATTTTAAAAATGAAAAATATGAAGAGCGTCAGTGGCTCAGGGATTAAAGCACTTGTCTTGTAATCCGCAGGTCCTAGGTTCGAATTAAAAATCGAAAAACACATTTGTACATACCAATGTGTTTTTCGATTTACATATGTACCTGATATTCTTATGGGGAAGGAAAACATTGTGACAGAGATCCTCAGTGGGGATAGAAGATGCTGATGAATGAAAAATAAAATTATAATGACAAATTTTGCTTCTCTTGATAAATGAATATATCTTTCATAAAATAATACTTTATCTTATGATATAACAATACCTATTACTATACAATATTAATCACTTTATGCTGCATGCTGTATGTTAATAAAAACAATTTGGAACTTTGGGAACATGAAAACAGACACTTTTACAGCATACAACTTTTTGAGGAAAAATAAAGACAAGTCCCCACTGAGGAGCTCAATGCCTATCCAAGTGAGTGATGACTAGGACTTAGTCAACCACATTGGCCCAGTGCTTTGGTTGACTTTTACATATCTCTGAACTTTTTCACCAACATGTGCTGGTTGGTTGCACCATGATATTTTCCTTGACTGTAAAAACATTGGATAACAATTTATCAATTTTTAGTAACTTAATTTTCTGCAAATGTAATAAATGTAAATACTAATATGTAAATGTAATACCCAGCTTTTATATATCCATTAAGTTCCTTAGCTTAACTTTTCAATGCAAACTTAAGTTTTTGGATTGTAATAAATTATTTTTCATTACTTTTAGCAAGGCGGCTATCGGCTCAGATTAACATACTGTTAACTTTCATGTATTTAGTAAATGTTGCAAAACATGTAATTTGACTCTCACATGTGCATCCGTAATGTTAACATGAAATTGAAGATATGCCATTTGTTACTTGCCACCTTATGCATTTGAAAGTTTACTTATTTTTGTCATGTTTAATTTAAACCAAACACAATATCTATATGTATACCCATACTGTTTTTTGTTGGTTTTAATATGAACAAATTGTTTGCCGGATAACCTAGACAAAGTGAGGAATGATAAAGAATTAAAAATAAATTAGTATCCCTAAAATTTTATTATTGATTTTGCCTCTATACAAAAGAAAATATAATAAATCACTTTAGTAATGTAACATTAGCTTGTATAGTATCAGGAAGAGCAATCGATTGTGACTTTAGGTAATAATTAAGGAGGTAATTAAAGAATTGTTTAAACTCATGAGTAAGAAGCAAGAAATCCATTTGTATCCTATACTTGGGTCTAATAACTACAGCATAATAACATGACGCATATCCAAGCATTGTATCCATTAAGAGTGTCAGAGTTCATATGTCGCTATGTAAACTTTAATCGATACTACTATATAATACTACCTAGCTTCAATCTAAATGCCTAATACCTTTTTAATCATAATAATCTGAGTTCTCACCATGAACAATAATTAAATGAATGTCTATGTAAATATTGTCAGACATCCGCGATTTCGATCAAATACACTCGAAATAGGTCTTGAATTATTTTTTTTACCACTTCGTCCGCGCGGAATTAAACAAAACTTAGTATGTTATGCAATCCTCTAGACAGTCTTCTACATCTGTATATACCTTTTAACATCCATCAAACTTTTCGCATTTTATTAGTGATATTTGTACCAAAAAAATATGCTAAAATTAGGTAAACGACCAGTGAATCGGCTTATATTAATTGATCCAACGTCCGCTTCCATTGCGCTAGAGGAACTGAGGATCTTGGCCTACATTAGTCATAAAACATTTACTATCAGATTAAATGTTTGTTGTTGATAAATAAATGATGTTCACAGGTGGAGAATGTAGCTAACGTTTGCACGCATGCTCTCTGCGTAGCGCCGGCATCGCTGGGCGCACGCGAACTCCTCACGCGGTCCGTAAACGCGCCGCAAGCGATCGCCGCGGTGGTGTACGGCCTGGCACTATGCCTGCTGTTCGCCGTCTCCACAACATTCCATTCAGTATGCTGCTGCCGATCTGATACGTAAGTTATTTGTAACCCCTGAAATATGGCATTTCAGAAGTCAACCTTAAATTATACATTTTGCTATTGTTAGGAAGAAAATCCGACAATGCCGGTGTATCGGCGCAACACTAGCCTTAATAAAATATCAATGTTATGTCCCCTCGCTAATAAATCTGCCAATTGACTGGGTAAGGAAAGCGCGCCATTTGGGCCAAAGGATAAATTAAGAATATCTCAAACTATAGAGTTGAAGTATCATTTATAAAAATTGTTTGAAGTGTTAAGACTGATCTACGATCTTCACAATTATATGATAGATGTGTTCAGTGAACCTCGCTAATGGAATAATAGATGATGTTTGCGACTCATGTGATCCAGCCATATCCTTGTTTATTCCATTTAGATCGCATGTAACTATATTTTGTCACCATTTGTACCGAAACAGCCAAGCGTATATATTGTTTATAGTCTGTACTTTTAAAATTAATTCATAAAAGAAGTATTTTCGATCACCACGTTTACATTACTAGGAAACTCTTTTATAATTTAATTTGTTATGTTTGATGAAAGAACCGATAAAATTCACTTAGTAACATCAATTCAACTTTCGATTATGTACTTCAATATTAAGCAGCATTTTAAATAAATAATTTATTTATGTAATTACATAATATATATACGTAATTCATGTTCTTAAAATGCATCATTTACGTAAGTTCACAGCCAATAATATATTGTTAATTAAATGTTCTAAAGCTAGAACCGTAAAATATTTGATTTTACGTAAAATAAATTTTAATTCACTTCGTAAACTTTTTAATTTGTATGGTCGTAATAAATTAAAAATTCCAGCCACCACTTGCCGTAATTTCTTATTCACTTTACCGTCTCTGGAGAGCTATGCAGTTTAACATCAATTTGTTGAGTGCCCCTCTCCAACTAATTGGCTTAATGTCAATTAAACTCTACTTACTATTTTTAATTGATTCAAGACTGGCGATTCTATTACTAACAAGTTTCTTAATGGTTTGTTTAGATAAAGATAAGTGTTATTTTATAGAAATCAACTATTTACAGTTAATATGAAGATCGATAAAGTTGTAGGATGTAGTTCTATGACCTTTATTTCTTATCATGTTAAGTGAAATGTGATAAAGGATAGTTCTTATGATCAGAGTCGGCGTTAGAGTAGGGCGCGTTTGGGCGATGGCCCAGGGCGCTGAAGAGAACGAAGCGCCAGATTACACAGTATCACATAACTCTGGTAACCCCCGCCCCACGGCTAAGGGACTTAGAAAACTCGCCCATAACGCAAGTAGAGCTAAAACGTTAATGATTATGACGACAGATTACTGCTGAATGATTTTTAAGTGGGAAGTGAATTCAATTCTTTAACTGAATAGGATGAAAATTGAAATAGACATCGGTCAGTATTTTTTGCATAGATTGTTTGAGTATGCAACAAAAAACATTTCAACAATGTTAGGTATATAATTTTATTGTAATGTTAACGATGTTATTTAATTTATGGCTAAAAATAAAATTGTTATGGAATAGTTCAATCTAGAAATAAACATAATCGCCATAGAAGCCTTAGAGTTCGCGCTGGCATTATCGCAAAGCTGAATAACAAGGTTATGTGCGGTTTATTGCGTAACATAAAAGAAAATAACTTAAATATAGCCTTCAATATAAACTACAGGGTGTTTGAACATGACACAACAAAGCAAGCATTATCATCCCTCGTCAGTAAAAAATAAAATGAAATTATTAGAAAAATGTATAGTAAAATGGATTAATAGTATCTCGTACGAAATTGAGAGCTGCTATAAAGTTTGGACGGCACTGTACCCATATCTGATAGAAAAATAAAATTGTTTAAATACCTATAAGACACTTTTACAATTCATCCTTAGTTTGTAATGATTGGATAAATATTAAACGAAAGTCGATAGCTAAAATCTGTACCAGAACTTTTAACTTTATTGGTACATTTATTTTCTAGAAAATATGTACCAATACCAGTTCTTCGTTCATTTATCGTTCTGAATTGTATATTTATATACAATGTTGCAATATAACTATTGTTCATTTAATTTATGATAATTAAATCGGCTTTTTCTCAATTCCTTTAGTTTAACAATGTAATTTTTTTCATGATGTATGTATTAGTGTGTGTACGTGTAAAATTACACATATTGTGAATGTCACAATAATATGTTTTTATTCTACTTCCTTGACAGTTGAAACCAAGTAATTACACGAACTCACAATCAGTCAACGTTTTTTTTTTAATTTTAAAATTTTTGAATCATCATGTACCTACACTGACAAAAAAAACAGAAAATGATGTTATAAGTAAACATAACTTTGTAAATTATTTTTTCAAGTTTGCCAAGTATAGCAAAGCAAAAGCAAAGCCGAGCAAGTAAGCATTTAACATATCAAAGCGTTGGTTTTAAAAGAGTCTTGGCCTAGTTAACGTTAGAGGGATCTGAACAGCTATTGTAAGCTTGTGACACTAGACTTCTATTGTCTTTGTTAGATGTTTGTTCAATTCATCAAAGTATGAGTATTCGCAGAATGGAATTACTAATGGCGTAAGCAATGTAGATACTTCGTATACAAGAATATTTTGAGGTTATTATAACCATGCATTTTTAACAGACGTAAAACAAATGACAAATATTTCAAAAATTATTTTACAGTAATGAAAGAAATATTAAATTATTCAAACTTTCGTGAGACATTATACCAAACTGATATATAAACACGGCTAAACACTCACGTATATTCGTCTGGTGGCGGCACCGACTAATTTCGAGCCCATCGGGGGGCCCTTCATCAGGATGAGTGGTCACTGCAGTGAGCGACGGGCCGCCTCCGCGAAATAATACCAGTACCACTCATCCTAATGAATGGTTTATATATCAGAAAGAAATATTCTTTATCTGTGGCATAGTAGTCTTTTCTTTAGTAATTAAGTATTTATTACCTTAATGTAGATACAGTAATAAAGACGTAATTATATCAACGTACACGGCAACATTTCAAGCCTCAAGGTGACCGGTGCGAACGCAGTGATGCGCATGTTTTAATATTGCAATTAATAACTCAAACGATATCTAGAAATTAGACAACGTATGTATTACGTAAAAAGTAGTTCTAATATCCATTTGTATATCAAATGAATTTGCGAGATGATGTCTTCACATTAGTAGGCAATATAGCACTTCATAATCTTCTTATATATAAAATTCTCGTGTCACAATTTTCGTTCCCATACTCCTCCTAAACGGCTTGACCGATTCTCATGAAATTTTGTGAGCATATTGAGTAGGTCTGAGAATCGGCCAACATTTATTTTTAATCCCGCGCGGATGGAGTCGCGGGCGACAGCTAGTTTAGTATATTACATTACTAACTGTGGGTTTCTGAGACCAAAATCCCCGACAAAAATCCACTGCTAATGATTTCTTAGTTGTTACGTATTGAATAAAAAGTCTAACACAGACGTATTTACACACATATACCATCTACCTGTCATTATAGAGCACAGAAATTGTCTAAAGCTTGCAACATGTTTACAGTAAAATGAAGCACTTCCTGCATCGCTTCGACCGAGCTATGATATACATCTTCATCGCGAGTTCCTACTTCCCCTGGCTGACGGTGGGCACGCTGTCCTGCTGGATGCTGCGTGAGCTGCGCTGGGCCATCTGGCTGCTGGCCGTGCTCGGCATCACCTACCAGCAGATCTTCCACGAGCGGTACAAGATGCTCGAACTCCTCCTCTACTTGGTCATGGGCTTGGGTCCGGCGGCCATCATTGTCACGTCAAATGTATGTCCACTGTTTGTTGCACGCTTGCTTTTTTTGGAGTAACACTTTCAGTGCCAATTCGCCTCACGAGTTGATATATGAAAATCATGGTGGCACTGAGTGTGTTAAGTATATTGCATGCTTTTCTAATTCTTCTTTGATTTTATTTATATATTATGTATTATTTATTTATTTATCAATATTTATTATTATATTTAAAAAAAAAATAGGTAGTGAATGTGGTGGGGAGGGGACGACAGATATCCTTTATATGTGTGTACCCACCTCCATTGATTAAAGATAGGCAACGCATTTGTGAATACGGATGTCTGGCCAGCAGTCATTTCTATTTTGGAGAATTACGCTGGCCTCTTGCTCGTTTGTCACCTTATAAAAAAAAGTTTGGCAAATGATAGAGTGTTGGTAGGTGATTTAACTATCGAGAATAAATTATAACATTTGTTTTAGAATTACGATAAATTAGTCCATTATCAAACAACTTCTCTTAGTAATATTGCTATTAGTCGTATGAATGATGCGGCATGCAATCTGTTTCTAAGCAATTGTATCCAATAGGAGTTGTATTTCTCATAATACGCTGTAATGCAATGCGTGTGTGCTTGTGTGTTGTGTTGAGTTTCTTAGTATTTTCATACGTCATCTTTGGTATAAAGTTTAGCGACTTTAAACCACCTAACCCAATGTTACGTACAATCTATTTACCTAAGATACCTGCACGTTTAAAGAAAAGTTTTATATTTATTATAGATACAATTATTTATACAACTAACATTCATGACTCAAACAAATATCTTTTCTTCTATGTGCCATGTAGAGATAGTGAAAGAGTCGATGAAATGATTCTTCTGTCTTTCTAACCGTGAGTTTCTGAGCTCGAAATCTTAATATAAAACATATCGTTTGTCATTATCGTTGACAAAACAGAGATAATTTCGAACAGGAATTTTGGTCTTAGAAACTCATGGTAATATATTAGATTTATTTCAAACAATAAAGTAGTTAGAAGCGCCAATAGAAGGTCGGAGGTTCAGATACCGCCATTCGACTATTGTCGTAAACCTTATCCTATCACAAGCTTAGAGCTTAGTTAGTATGGTACAAGAAATATTAGTAAATTTACACAAAATCTGCTTATATTTTTAATTAAAAAAATAAATATGTATGATTATTTTCCCTTCTGCTCGTTATTTCCATACGTTTGTCAGATATACGTCACGTTCTAGTGGCATAGTTATATTAAAAATGCAGCTTTCATTTATTTCAATGCACAATGTATAATGAAACGTAAACTCGGCTCTGGAATTCATAAATAAACAAGTGATAGCGCTCTACTCGCAACCCCGGAGATTACCCATCCTCAGCCCACCCCGTATAGTTAACAAGTTTGTATTTTTAAAATATAATATGAAATATGAAGAGCGGCGTTGGCTCAGGGGTCAAGCACTTGACTTGCAATCTACAGGTCCTGGGTTCGGATCCCGCTATGTACCGACGTTCTTACGGTGAAGGAAAACATCGTGATGCAACGTGCACATATCTGAGATGAAATTCAAAGATATGTGTGAAGTCAACCAACCCGCACTGGGCCAGCGTGGTTGACTATGGCCTAGTCACCCCTCACTTAGGGTAAGATCCGAGGCTCTCAGTGATGACGTATAGTGATCTGATGATGATGGTGATGATGATGATGATGAAAAAAAACTGAACATAAAATGATAATTGACAAATGAAAGTATGCAAAGTAGGCGATTATTTTTTTAAAGAGATTAGAGAAGAGAGAAGAGAGAAGATAAGTTAATCACAGATCATTATAAATGGATATGCTTTGAAATTACTGTTTTTGTTTATTATTAATTCGAATTCATATCACCGCTACAAACCGCTACCATTAGTACTAAAACGACGAAAATCAAATTGGTACAAAATATCACGTCTTTAGCCAGTCGATTTACAGAGGTTAGTTGGGCAAACGAACTGCGGGTCTCATACAATGTTAATTGATATTGTATTCGTTCAATGTATAAAATATTTCCACTTAAATTTTGATGTACATTTATGTTCTTTTCCCTTCCAACGATATCATTTCAAATTCGCCTTTGTACATCTATTTGCGATTTCAATTGGCAAATTGGTTGGAGCAAAGGGAATCATGTTACAATTGAATGAATAGATTTATAGGTGACAGGATCTTCCAATATACTTTGTTAAAGTGTTAAGTATAAAATTCACACTTTGGAAAATAGATTTTAAAAAAAATCTTTGTGGATAAAAATCTCATTTATTGTTTTTAAGAACGATCCGAGAGATGAAAATGTTTGTAAGGAGATGTGTTAGAAGTTACAATCCACGGCTATAAATGTTTTATTAATACTAGCTGTCGCCCGCGACACCGTCCGCACAGAATTAATAACAAACTTAATAAATAGCCTATGTGTTCTTCCAGGCTGTTTTACATGCCAAATTTTAGCGAGATTTATGCTTCGGGTTCGGAGATATCTTCAACCAATCGTCCATCCATCTATTGAAACATTCACATTTATAATATTAATAAGATTAGTCAGATTTCGGGTTAACTAAACCTTATTTCGGCGTGTGATTGACAAAAAGTGATTTTTGAATCTATAAATTTATCTTATCATATCTTATATCTTTAAATGAGCAATTCTTGTATATATATAATTGTAATCTCGGAATCGGCTCTAACGATTTTCATAAAATTTAGTATATAGGGGGTTTAGGGTGCGACAAATCGATCTACCTAGAAATCATTTTTAGAAAATGTCATTTTAATCCTGTTTCATCGATAATCAACTTCAACATAAACTTAACTTTTTCTATCGGTAAGATCGAAATATATTATTCATTTTTCATCATTTTATTAGTAATTCGTACTTAAATATAATTTCCAAAAAACGCAATTAAAAAAAAAAGTCATCCAGGTACTAAATTTTAAAACGAACATACATAATCATACAATTATTACTTATATCGCACAATTATAAAACCTCCATTGAACATATAATAATATTGCAATTTTCACGAAACCCTGACCTGAACAATAAGATTAACAATCTATGTATTTACAAAAGCCATGATACACCGACCCAAACCTAACCTCTTTAGTGTATTCCATGTTACAAACTATTCCATAAATGCTCAATGTAATTATGTTAAATTATACTGACCCTGAAACAATTTCATTGTTGATTAATTTATTTGTAATTTAGCCGAAACAATAGCTTTGGTTAAGTAATCTTTTCATCTATTTGAGAGGATAACTAGAAAATCTAGGTGCCTAGCATGAATGTTTTCGAAAAAGTATTACTAACGTCATAGACAAAATTTGTGTAAGATTCCTTTGTGTACTTTACGCACGATTATTCACAAAACAAATTTTCTCGATGGTTTGTAGAATATTTACACGGAAATTTTCGTGCTAGACCCTCTATAGCATGCTTAATCGATTTTAAAGAGATATCTCTCGATTCATAATAATCACGGGAGTAAATTTTATTCAGGAAATTTTAATGGCTTTATAATATACCTAGTGTTCATGCTGAATCATAATCTAGTACAAATTTTGCGATAGATTTACAGTTTGATAATATTAATGATGTGTTCTTTGGGTCATTATAATTGCATTAAGATTCTATAAATATCATCAAATTGTTATCATTAAAAAACGCTTATTTTTGCGGGCATTTTTAATGTAGTTTAATGGCAAACAATTTATGGCCACCCTTAAAGTTCCACGAAGTTACTCTTACAAAGTCGAATCCGATAAATTATTTAAGTCGAATGGAATTTGAACTCTTGACCTTTGCGTATAGAACCAATCTCATGTGAAGGTGATCTAATTTTAAAAGAACAGCACGAAACTACATAGTGTTAGAAAGAAAATCCCACACTGTGCCGGGGTATCGGCGCAACACTAGCCTTATTAAAATATCAACGCTTATCTCCCCTCACTAATCAATCTGACACTTGACTTTGTAACAAAGCGCGCCATTCATACTAAAGGATTCTATCTAATAATATCATCATCAACTCACTATACGTCCCCACCATGGGGCTCGGAGCCTACCCTAAGTTAAGGGTGATTAGGGGTCAACCACGCTGGTCAAGTGCAGGTTGGTTAATTTCACATATATCTTAGAATTTCTTCGCAGATATGTGCAGCATTACGATATTTTCCTTCACCGTAAGAAAGTCGGATAAATGTACATATGTAAATCGGAAATCGAAAAAACACATTGGTACATGGCGGAATTCGAACCCAGGACCTGCAGATTGCAAGACAAGTGCTTGACCCCTGAACCACCGACGCTCTTCTATATATTTTAGAAATTAAATAATTTTACAATTTACATAAGCGAACATAATCTTATAAGTGAAAGGTCATTGTTATTATCTATTCTGGTCGTGTCGCATTACTTCTGCATAGTAACTATAGGTTAGATATTTATAACTTGCAACACTGACATTCATATATAATACGACCACTTATAAATTATTCTTGCAAAGTGGTAGAGCCCGCTTTAACATCTTCGCACGAATTGGCCCGGCTCACTCGGTGACGACGACGACACAGAAGATAAGCGTGAAGTGGAAGCAATTCCGCGTTTCGTCTAATTTAGTCCTCTTTCCTTTACCCACCCTTTTTCTTATAAGGGAAGGAGGGGAAGTGGAAGTGGACTTTCCCGATGAGAGGATACATGGAAAGGGAAAATATTTTCTTTCTGTGCATCCTCCCCTCCGTCGATTATAGATAGGCAACGCATATGCAATTGCGTGTGTCTATAGGCAACGGTCACTTTACTATTTCAGCGATTTCAGGTGGCTCGCTCATTTGCCCCCTTATTATATCATAATATATAGTTGCCAACCGCATCTCCGTCCGCGCGGAAAATAAAATTAATTAAATACCCTATGTCTCTTTCAGACTAGTAATTTAATCTAGACACAGCAAAGTTGGATCTTACTAAGATCAAACTTTGCTTGATCAAACTTGTCGGTTGTGCGCGACGTAGTTTAAGTTACAACATAATTGAGTTTCGGAACAGGTATCCGTCCTCGGTTGCTCGCGTCCTCGTCCCCATTCAACTTAGTTAAATGCTCTTTAACTTAAAAATAATTAAAGTTGCGCTAAGGACATATAACAAATATATGATTGCAAGTTTCAGATTTTCTTGTTTGGATTATTCAAAGTAAAATTTCCTACAATTTTCTCATATTAAATATAAGCTGGCAACTAAAGCGTTAGAATGAAAACGTATTATTTTTTTATTTACGATTTACAAATGTTTTTATTTACCTGAGCCTGCGATGTATCGTGTTTTATTTGACCTTGTGCATGCATGCGACTTATTTCTTATATTGTTTTTATACAAAACATGCTCAGATTATATTATACCATATTTTTTTATGCAATACTTTATGTGTGTTTTGCGTCTAAATCAATTGTTATGATAATTAACAATTATTGCATAAAATAACTGTTACTAAAGTACTATTAAGTAGATGGATGGCCATCTAACGCTACGATATCTTCCTATGTATCAATGGCCGTATACCCCTTAACACTTTCAATGCCACTGACTCGCCCTACGAGTTCACGTGAAAATTGCAGTAGCATTGAAAGTGTTATTCGCCTCTGACGCCTTGATGGCTTTTGTGATCTGATATTGAATGTAATGTTTATCTTCCAGCACCACTTCCCAGCGATGCACGACCTCAAGGTGGGCGGGATGCTGTACCTGGCCGGCGTGTTCTTCTTCAAATCTGACGGGCGCATACCCTTTGCTCACGCCATATGGCATATATTCGTGGCCCTCGCCGCTAGCGTGCACTATCTAGCAATACTCCGACATCTCTTCCCAGAACTAAAATCTCAATAAAGACTGCCCCATTAATCTATTCAAACTCGATTAACCGAGAGCGTTTTCTCAAGCTATTTTCGTATCGCGACTCAACAGCGAGGTCGCGTTTAACACACTTGACAGCTGCAAAATGTCAGACGTCAATTGAACTTGGCAGTAAATGGCGCACTTCCGCCACTAGGGCTTGACAGAAAAACTTCTCAACAATGTTGATGTATAATAGTATCCAATTCCATTATCTCGGCTAAGTATTTTGTAGTCATATAATCTGTATTGATGTCTGTTTCTGTAGTTTTTAATTTAGGTTGTCTGGACCGCAGGGTTTTTAGACTTTTGAACTCGTAGAAATCTGTTAGACGCACCTTTTTCGTCCACACGACGTTGTTAAAACTTGTACTACTTGTTTTTTTTTGACATTCCCATAGTAATGACTTCAAAACAATTGTTTTTAGTTAATTGTATTATAATTTAGTTGAATCTCTCTAGTACAATTTTATTGACTGGCCATATGGACATAAAAAAAAACTTGTGTTTAAAACAAAATATTCGCACGCAATGCGTTGTTTCCATGACTCATGTCTAATTGGCCTGACTTCCTTCGGACCTCGACCTTTTTGCCTCGAATTCAGTTCTGACATATCTAGATTGTCCAGTTGACCATTTTTATTATATAACCTATATTTATATATGATTCTAAGCGTTTAATTCAAGTTTTTTTTAATGAATTCCACGGACATATGATTTTGATTTTATCTGTTGGATATTTATTTATTTAAACAATAATTGTGTTATTTATTTTGTTATAACTAAAGAGTCTTATTTTAACAACACGGCGTGGACAGTCTTCGGCCAAATAGTTTAAATGGAATATTTAAATGTATGTATATTTTGTAAAATGAAATTGTTGAATCTTTCTACTATTGTTGTAGTGTTCTTAGTATTTCAAAATCTCGAGACCAATCCAATCCTTTTTAGATTGTTTAAAATGTATTGGAGTTTTTTATAGACGTTTATATATCTATACTTATACGTGTCCCGTTTTTCAGTGAGATCTTTTTATACATCTCAATGTAAGCTCTCCTTAGATTAACTATATTACAATGTAGAGTAGTTGTGTCGTGATGTGCAAATCTATTGTTAATTGTCGTACTAATACTCCCAATTGTCGTACTCTAATTCTTATCTGTCTCCATGTATGTATTCCATGTTAGTAACTTTTGCTCAATAAGAAAATTTGTCGTTTTGAATATTAAATGTAATATTTCAAATATATATTTTGGATACTTTATAATTTGAACAATAACATAACTCGCGACCATAACCCAGAGGGATAAGCAGTGACCACGGACTTCCATTTTGCGTGGTCTTGGTACCTCTCTCGCTTATTCAACATTCATACATCTACAAAAACATTGATTTTGGTTCTGGGCGCTGTTTATACCGCTCTATTTAAGGATTTCTTCAATCTAGACGGTACAAGTACTTCTGGGAAGGCCCCGACCGACACTACCACTCATTTTCGCGCCATAAATAAATTATATTTCAACTAGAACTAAAACTAAACATTTTGCAGATAAGTTCGCACTGCGATAATTTAAACATGTTATCTCTGTCTTCCTTTCCGAGGCAAATGAGACAGCATGTTTTATGTCAATTTTTTTTTAAATATTATATGTAATTTATGCGCATTTCAAAATAAAGTGTCATCTTCAAAGTTTCACAACAAAGCATTGTTAGCTGAATATCGCAATCAGATAGAAAACAATAGTTTGTCTGTGGTCAAAATTGGAGCAAACGATTGTTGGCGCGAAATGTCATCCAGTACAATGGCCGCTGTTTTATATTTTTTGTCTTCCGAAGGATCACACATGAATAACATGTACATAGCAAAAACGGATGAATACTTTGTTATTTTGACATTATTTAAAATTAATAAAAACTTTATTACGTTACTTTTAAAAGGATTGATGACAAATAGTAATGATAGCAAATAGTAGCATTGAATGTAAATCCAATTATTTTTAAATAATGTATGCAATTTGACATTAATATTTTTTTATATTAATTCCTTATATTACTCAATTTAATCGTTTTTGTTATTATTTATATATAATCAGTAACTGAAATACTCATTTTATAGTTAAAATTGCGATGTATCTTTTGTTTAAATATTTGTTTATTATAATATATGTCAACATATTAAAAAAATATAATTTTGATTGTATTCTTTCAAAAAAACTAATAATAGTGTTAACAAAATCTAGTCATAAATTTGCAGTAGTTTTGTGCAAATTAGTGATTGAATGAATGAATTATTTTTTCCCTTTTTTTACCAATTTAAATGTTCCTAGTTGGCTTTCATTGTTTAGAATAAACTATATTTCGCCCGCGACTTTGTCAGTGCAGTATAATTAAATATATGTATCGTAAAAAAATTCCCGCATATCTAAGATACCTTCACGTAAAAGTCCGGAAACATCGGTCCAGCCATTTCCCAGATTATCCGGAACATACGCTAATTACCGGACAGAGGAAAATTTTAAAAATGGAATAATTATTTTAATCAACGCAAATTTCTAATCAATATTAAATATAGACACAACAATTTTATTAACTGTATAGATATATGCAGACAAAACTTAGTGTAAGTTTTCACTACCAAAACCATTGTATAAAATGATATCTCGTTCTTTGAATGTTTATACAAATGTTTTTAAAGTGGAAATCAAATGATATATTTTACGTAATACATTTGCAGACTGTTGATCCGGTGAAAGCAAAGCTTATGTTCTATGAATATAATGTATGTTGTCCGTGTGCAATTTACATAAGTATTTTAAAATCGTAACATATCAGAGAATCTCAGAAATTTATGTAGTTTTCGGTTTTTTTTTACAATAGAAAAATAAAACCGGTTAGTCAAGGATAATCACAGGGTAAAAACCAATACGAAGACAGATTCAAGTTAAAGCAAAGAAGTTATTTTATCTTATACAAATAAAACGAAATGTTTTTTTGTCGTAATTTTTTCTTTTTACCAAATGACAGGCAAATTGGCGGCAACTTGATGGTGCTGAAAAAATAAGAAAAAATACATTTTCACTGTATAATTTACGTACGTCTCTATAACTAGCATGATTTTTTTTAATATTCTTTTGAAATACATAGTTGAATAAATTAGTAATATCATAATGATTTTAATTTACATATTTTTATAAAAATAGAATTATAGCAAATTTTATTATTATTGTTTGCAAAGAACATTTTTATTTACACTGAAGAAAGGAAAAATATATGATGTGTAGTTAATGTGTTCCTTGAATGTTTAAAGTATCAATAATCTCTATAAAATAGCAGTTAAAACAATGGGAGATTGACTTTGCTATAAAATATTTCAAATTAAAAAAAATCCTCAGTACAGGAATTGGGATTCTAGGATAGTCTATGGATTTGTGTCTTGGTGTAAAGAAAATTAGATGTAGTCTTGTGTATGAGATTTTCTATCTCATTATGTTTTCAGGGAAATATAGATTTGTGATTGTGATTTATTAATAGTCTCGTATAAATTGTATATTTAAATAGTAAATACTATAGTTAAAGTCGATTAAAATGACACATCCGTGAATATAATACCATAAACTTAATTTTTTTTTAAACTCTGCTATGAGTGAAAACAAAATATTATTGGATATGACCACTAAATATCTCTATTCCCTTTGATGGTATTGTGAATGATTTTGTCTATTATTTTTAGCTAAATAGATGTCAAATTGCTGTAATGTTTTGTAAATTTTGTCTGTATGTTTAGAATTATCAACATTATATTGAGGTAGAAAAATAAGGTATGTGTCATATGTAAATGTTTCTATGCCCAGTGTATAATATATATATAATTTTCTAACAGATTCATTATATAGATTTTTCGTAAATGTTATCTTTGATATCAGATCCAGGTATAGTTTTGTAGAGGTTTTTGGGAACTAAATAAAAAATTTACAATCCTTAATTTCGTTTTTTTATTAAAGGTTTTAAGGTCACACTTTGTTTATACACGGTAAAAATGGTAATAGTATTATATCAGAATATTACATTTTAGAAACTGTCTTGATACCTAAGATTTCAAGACATTTTTCCATAACTTTAGCTGTTACTTCACAAAGCATCAATCTTTCATAAGATATGTCAACAATATTTCCGCTCTTATCTTTTTGGATGCAGTAACATTTGTCATAGAATTCTGTGAAGGTGGATGAGATTTCATACAAATATTCACACAGACTATGTAAGTATAGATCATTTGTAACTTTTAGAATCACCTCAGGGAACCTCAAAAGTACTTTGCCTAATTTCCACTCTGTAATATGTTCAAGTTTGAAACCTGATTTTGTTGCTTCCTCTAATAACTTAGTTTCAGAAACCTGAGCATTCCTTGCAATAGATCTGATCCTTGTCACTGCATATAATAAATAAACTGCAGTATTGCCTTTATCATCCAACATTTTGTCAAAAGAGAAGACATAATCATTCACCCTGTTATGAGAGAGATCAGCATACTTAATACAACCATAAGCAACAGCTTCTTGAGCTTTCTTCAACTCCTCAGGAGTCAGGGCTTTGTCTCTGCCCTTTTCTACCAATTTATCAAGAGATCTCTTTAGACCCTCATCAAGTAATTCAATGAGTTTCACAGTATCACCAGACCGTGTTTTGAATTTTTTCTTGTCTTCACCAAGTACAACACCAAAACCAACATGCTCTATCTTTTGTGAGTTTTTCAGAATACCTGCACGTCTTGCACATGCATCAATTGTCACGAAATGTGTGTATTGACCAGCATCAGTTACATAAATAAATCTATCCCCCTTTTCTTCATCTACCCTCTGTTTTATTGCGGTTATATCTGAAGTATCATATGTGTAGCCTCCATCAGACTTCACAACTGTCAGAGGTATGCCTTCGTGTGTGTCAGGATCACCCCACATTATCAATCTACCTTCATCTTCTTCAAGAAAACCCTTGTCTTTGAGTTCTTTCACTACAGCATCCATCCTACTTTGATAGAAAGACTCCCCTCTATCTATGATACGAATGTCCAACCTGTCATAGATTTTCTGAAACTCCCTTCGTGACACTTCACATATAAGTTTCCATGCTGCAATATAATCAGGTTGGCCAGACTGCAGCTGTACAACACAAGAATATGCTCTCTTTTTAAATTCTTCATCCTCATCAAACCTTTTCTTTGATTCCTTATAAAAAGCTTGCAGATCAGAAATTGGTGGTGAACAAGTCTTATAATCTGGGAATTGCTCTTGCAGATGTGCAATCAACATTCCAAATTGTGTTCCCCAATCACCTAAATGATTCAAACGCAATACATCATGGTTCAAATACTCTAGAATTCGACAAATGCTATCACCTATTATGGTTGACCTTAAGTGACCTACATGCATTTCCTTAGCAATATTTGGTGATGAGAAATCCACTATTACTCTTTCCCTTTTAACAGGTGGTGGCCTAACACCATATTGGAGGATGCAGTTCAATACATGCTCAGCAAATTTCTTATTTAAATAGATATTCAGGAAACCAGCTCCTGCTACTTCAATTCTCTCTATAAGAGGTGATGTTGGTGTTTTATTAAGTATGTTGTTTGCTACTTCCCTCGGGTTTGTTGACACATTCATTGATTTCAGTAAATGAGAAATAGGCATAGCAGAGTTACACTGATAGTCGCCAAATTTAGGGTTATTGCCTGAAAGAGTCAGAACTACTGGCGGGTCTACCAAATTGGGGTAGGCAGATATAATTGCTATTTCAAATATGTTTTTAAGTTCATCCAATAAACATATGTTGCCTTCTACAGTACTAATATCTGTTATTAACTTTGGTCTTTTACGACTTTCCATTTTAGGCGATAGGTTAGACTCGGCTTTGATGGCATTTTCGATTATGGCAAGGCGATGCTTAAGTTTTTCATTTTCCTGTAATAACTGGTCCAAACGAGAGTCTACTGCCGAACTTAAGTCCCCATTCGTGAGTTTGTCCAGCTCCGCCTCGATGGATTTCGCTTCCAATTCAGCTTTACTAGTTCTCTCTAAAAGAGCTTTCTCGTCAAATTCCGACATATCAGATTCGTTGTAGAATTAATAAAATCGGTGATATAATTTAAAATTTCAGACTCACTTGACAGCGATAATAAGCTCTTTTATTTTGTAAAGTCTATACATTCAAATTACTATAAAACCCTAAAGATAAAGGTTATTTTGAAGAAACAGAACCATGACACTTACAACACATTGACACTTTGACATTGACAGTTCCACTATATTACATGGCAACATCTTTCTTTTATCGGTAAAATGGAACGTGTCGTTTTCGTTCACAAGAAAAAATCTATAATTAATTTGCAGACTTACAAAAATACCAAATATCTTGCCAAGAGCAAGAAAGTAATGTTAGCAAGTTAAAATTTCTTTGTTCTAAACCTAATATTAATATTTTTATGATTGACTAAAATTTGCACGCGTTGCTATAGCAACCAAGGTCAAACTCACTGCTTCAACATGGTTAAAAAAAAGTAAGTCAAATAAGGCTCAATTAATAACAGGTAGGAATTTAGATATTATATTATTGAATTACTACTGCCGACAGTAAACAAAATAATTTAATATTTTTTATAATACTAGCTACATTTTCAGATCTTTCTTTATCTTTACATAGAAAAACTGATTTGTTTGAACCATTATTGTAACAAATATTTAGTTTTAAATATGTAAAAGTTAACGTAAGAATGGCACTATCGAATGGATTTAAATATACGACCGACAGCGAGAACCCTCTTTGGCTAGAAGGTATTAACAAGTAAGTTTTGAACATTCATACTTAAGTATATTAATGCAAACTGTTATCAAATTATCAGACTTTATATTAAAACTTTATTTTTGGAATGTTTTTAAGAGATTTAAAGTCAAACAAACAGCTAACTTTAATGTTGCTGAACATTACCTACTCAGATAATAACATGTAAAGAAAAAGAGGTCTTTTTGCAGTAAATTTTGCTCCTACCTTGTTACGTTTTCACTTTAAATCTTTTTTAGGAAACTGAAAGAAACTCACATCAAAAATGGCAGTCGTATATCGTCTCCAAATTATGAAAAAACAACAAATTCTAGATTAGATAGCAGGTACTTAATAATATTGAGCTTGAATAATAAATGAACCATACTTTATACTAAGTGCTCTGATATGTACTTCGTGTAATTTCTAAACTCTCTGTTATTTCAAATAGATCAACGCGGCGGACATCATTAGACGCTGCTATCGACATTCAAAAGAAACAGAAAAAGCACCCAATCGCACATTCTGCAGGCACACTGCGACACAATCATGGTAATTTTTTAATATATATTGTTCATGGATAGCTAATAAAGAACCTTTATCGTTGTTTTCAATTTATAAATAAATATGCTACCTACAAAAATCTTATCAAATAATTTATAACCATTTATGTACATGAGAGTAAAATTTGGAAAAGGGCATGATTTACTTCCCATAGAGTGTTGTTTTCACAATAACACTACCCACTCCTGTAGCATAAGGGGTAGTGGGAAAGACAAAAGAATTGTACCAGACCGCACCAAATGCAAAACCGTAAATCTCTGCCTACCCCTCTGGGTTACGGTTTAAAATCATTAGTAGATTAATGGACTTTATATGAGATGAAAGTAGACAAATAACTTCTTTTTTAGCCCAAGATCGTGACAAAAACAAGAAGCCAAATGCGAGGCCCAATAAATTAGACTGGGGCGATTCCAGTGGCCGTAATGACGTCACCAATCATTTTCTATCCGACCTTCTCCCGCATTACGTCACTCCACGACACAGGCCCCTGAACGCAGACAATGATTTTAACGATGTTATTGTTGGACGCAGTAAGTATATTAACTTTTACTAACATATAGCAACTATTGAAAAAGATTTACTAGAAAACAATTATCCCTAATATTCCCAATTAGAGTTTGTAAGCCTATGCTTAGTAACCAAGAGGTTCTTATTGATAATGATAGTGCAATTTCAACAAACAAAACACAAAAAAGAGTTCTTATTTCAGGGCATGATACATTTAAACCAAATAAAACGGTTCCTGAAGAGTACAGAAGTATCGCACATCATACAAACAGACCAAAGAAATCTGTTGCTAAAAATTTTACAAAGAACACTTCTAAATTGACTCCAAAAGATATTGAAAAAGTTATGAACGATTTTGTGATACCGGAATTACCACAAGGAAGATTATTGGAGATAAAGATTTTCTCCAACTGGGGCGATAAATTTCTGGTCGGTTTGAATGGATTAGAAATTTTTGACGTACACGGTGAAGCGGTGAATATAGAAAAGGTATGTACTAACAAATATACCGCAATTTTTAATTCCTACATAAGTGTCGTAGCTGAAAATTGATGTAACATCAAAATAAAAAGTACAGGGCTGAATGTAGGACCTCCTAGCACTGTGCTTTTGGGGAGCGTCAGCCAATGATATGCGACTTTTAATAGTGGGGCCAAAGACAATTAAGACGGCCCCGGATGTGCTACAGTCGAAGCAAATTAACCACTTCAATCACATCAATCACCATGTTTTTTCCCTTGTTTGTAAGATTTCCATCATTGTACACTTTGTCTAGATATGGTCAGATTCAGAGAGTGGTGACTGTACGAGGTATGGTCGCACAGAGAGCATCATTGACGGCGTGGTGCGCACCACTGATGACCTGCACATCTGGAGCGCGCCCGTGCCCGCCAGCGCGCCCATCGCCCTCAGTGTGCTGCTGGCCAAGTGCACCACACTGGCGCTGCTCAGGTTGTGGGTGAGTGTGATCTAAAATATAGCTACATGTAACCGTTGTTAGTCATTTTATTTACCAAAGATACAGTAAAAGTCATGGTTCTAACTCGCCCAATTACTTCGGTTTATGGGATCTTTAAACAAAAGTTAAATTACTAGCATTTTTTTGCAATTGAACTTCTTATTTACAGAAGCAGAAATATAACGTCCTGTATTTGTTTCTACTACGTTTATTTTATTGTATTTTAATTTAAATTCCTTCACTAAGCTTGATAATTTGTAGAACTACAATAAGTCTCGTATATATTCGACGCGTGGTGTTCGTCTGGTACAAATCAAACTGGACGACCAAGTTATATTCCAAGGCGAAATAGCGAGGTCTAGTGGGGCGCTTAAAGGACACTTGCAGTCTTTTGGTGACGTAAGTATAGCTTAGATTTTAGATTTACTGCCGCATCGGAAGTAATTGGTCATTGAAAAATCTAGACTCTAGTGTAGATTTCAACTTAGGAAAACCACTTTACGGCTCTGATGCGGCAATTAGTTATTAAGATCGAAAATTTATAGCACATTAGGAGTCGTCCATTAGTCACGTGGTTCGAAAAGGGTCCCTGAAAAAACATTACGAGGTGAAAGCTGACTTAAATTTAATTAATAGTATAAAACCGAACTACATGCAACTAGAGGGGAAAAACGGTCAAAATGTTGCTAAAAAATCACGTGATTAATGTACCCTATGTAACAAATTTTCAGACAATCTTATTCACAAAAGACTCGTGCATATTAGAACGTATTCTGGTGAACGATAAAAATTTCCAAGAACTACTAAAAGAGAGCGACACTGGCAATGACTACGGAATTGTGGAGAAGCGTCCTCCCACCGCCAGCGAGAGTCGCGCCCCCAGCCCCGCCTCACACCACACCTCACAACTCACCGCACAAGATAACAACACCACCAAGTATGTCGCCAACGTCGTCAAAATTGTCTTGATGTCAAATTGGGGACAGAAACATATTATAGGACTCACGGGTAAGTCCTACCAAAATGTACTCTAAACATTTTATTATTCGTATGATTTTTATTACAGTACCAGAAAACTAAAATACTACAAACCATATTCCCACATCCTTTAATTTTTCTTTTGTTAAAAATAGTTTGATTATGGGATTTCTGGAAATCTCAGAGATGTAACTCTTCTCCTTGTGTAAGGGAACTCTGGAATGTAACCTTTTTTCGTAGAGTATGATCATATACTCAAACATGTTTGTAGGATATGAACAAGGAGAAGATATGAGATCTCATAAGAACTCAGAGATGCAACTCATATCAATAGGATATCTTTATTTCTCAATTGTTAGGTATAGAGATCCTTCGCCACAATAAGCCGGTGGCGGTGCAGCGTACGTACGCGTACACCGCGTACATCAGCGACGAGCGTATGGACGAGTGCGACAGCGTGGCAGACTGCCGTAGTCTCTTCAACGGCACCAACATCACCACACACTTCGAGAACATGTGGTGCACGAACTTTGCGCCCGGCACCAAATTCTGTCATATCGTTGCAGAGTTGCAAGAACCCACTGTTATAACTAGTACGTTACAACCTTCCTTGTCGTCATCAGCTTACTATACGTCCTCACTGATGGATTCGAAGCCTACCCTAAGTTAGGGATGATCTTTCTTGTCATTGGTAACTATTTCAGCAGTCAAAACAAATTGAGTATTCTTTTGCCTCACTCTCAAAATACTACGACTATTGCTGCTTTATTAAATTCCTTTTATAGGCCTAATAGGGTTAAAATGTTTGTCTAGAAAGACTGAATATTTTTTCGATTATTGTCGTTGTAATTAGGATTTTACATGGTATATCCGCTAGGTATAAGAATATGGAATTACAACGGCAGCCTGGAGCTGTCTTACATAGGCGCGAAGCACGCGCGCGTATACGTGGACGGAGGCGCGCTGCACTGCCGGCCGTTGCTGTTGCGTCGCGCGCCCGGCGATACAGCATACGACTACGTGCAGCACATCGACCTCGCGGACATTGACGACAGGTGTATAATACATACTGAAACATCAGCTCAGGGCTCGAAGTCTACCCTAAGTTACGTGGTTTGGCGCCAGTGCCAATAGTCGGCTGTCATCTGTCAAAGTTTTATAGCCATAGCTAGCTTGATTCTGTGCGACATCAAAATTAACAGGCGATGTTTTTTTCCACTTTAGATTTGAGGAATCTCCAGAGGAGAGTTACCGCAAGGAGTGTGCGGTATTCGGTAGTGGTGGGGGCGGAGGCGCGCCCACCGGCTTCGTGCTGCAGATCAGCATCTTCTCGACGTGGGGCGACCCTTACTATGTGGGTCTGACTGGAGTCGAACTGTACGGTCCCGATGGCAACCTGATACCGGTCACCGAAACTAGTACGTATGCAGCGACATCTGACTGACTGTTCAGGAAATGTTTGACTTAATTTCCATTCATTTTTATGCTACGTTCCTTTCCTTTAAGTCTTCTTATTGCCCCTTAGCGTCAAACACTTCGCCCTGTTATATAAAAAGGTTGCATTGTTATGTCAGACGTGTGCGCGCACCCGTCGAGTGTGAACGTGCTGTACGAGCAGGGCGGGGACGCGCGCACTCCTGCGCGTCTCGTGGACGGCTGCAACGCGCGCGCCGCACTCGCGCACCACTCCTGGCTCGCGCCCATACTCCCGCACACACTCAATAGGTAATCTATCTAGACGCCATAGACAACTTTGTGATCATTTGTGCTGTGTAAGCAGATAATGCGTAGAGTAAGATATGGCAGTGGCTGATAGAAAACAATTCCTGCTTTTAAATTTCATTTATTTACCGAGACAAAATTTTTATATCTATACGTCTGCTACTTTTTTAAGAAATAAAATTTCAGGGTATTCTTTGTGTTCGACGTGCCGGTTACAGTTTACGGAATGAAGATATGGAACTATGGTAAGACGCCGGCGCGAGGGGTTAAGGAGTTTGCGGTGAGTAACGTGGACCGTCATAGTTCGTTTGATTTAGCATATAGAAGTATTTGATATACATATGTTTGGGTGGTCAGATCCTAATGGACGATTTGCTGGTATACAACGGTTCGTTGGAGCGCGTCAAGGGCGAGGAGATCGCGCCGCAGTGGATATGTCTGCGCAACGACGACCCAGACAATTTACCCAGGTAATATGTAATACATATTTTAACTTAAATGAAATATTATGCCCCTTTCTCCCAATAACTTATTTAATTAAGAAATATAAGTATGTTATGTAATACAAAGTATGATGTACGTTACAGTCCATCGAACAGCAGTCGGAGGTCAACGACGAGCGGCTCGTACCACTCCGCGGACCCGCGCGCGCGCCCCCACACCAGCGTACTCGCTGACGTACACACATACAAATACTGATGCACACAGACAACATAAAACGTTCCACAAGTTTGTTCAATAAAGAGAATCAATCCGAATGGAATAAAGCTTAAATGGTCCCTAAAATCTTGGTCTTCAGTATAATCCAATTGTAACGTAATTTATTTTTCATTTCTATGCATTCTTATCGCCTTTTTTATCCTATAGCCGCCTATTATTGTGGCTGTTGACACTAATTAAATCTGACTTAGACAATATGTGTCAAAAATGTCACTGAGATGCAAATGTCAGTGAGAGCATGTGTGCAATGACATTTGTATTGACCACAGATAAAAGAAAGGGCATAAGATGTTAGTAACTTTTCTACTTAACCAAGATATATATTGCAAGTGAATGTGATGTAAAAATGTACGTAATGAACAATTTTAAAGCTTTAAAACTTTGCCCCATTTTTATACCGTTTTATGAAATGAGTTTGTTAATTTTTCAAAGAACAATTTTTACTATACGATTATAAAATAGTTTAAAATATAAGTTCGATTAAAAAATGATTTGTAGTCATTATTAAATATGTAGATTACAAATAATTAAAATGAGATTATTTTTGAAGATAAAAATTGCATCTATTAATTATATCTAATGTCTTATTTTCACTATATAATTTTAATAATAATCGTAAAGAATACATCAATGAATTATTTTTCCTTCAATTATTAAATTAACTATTCGAAACTGGCCGAAAATAGTTCGTAAATTTTGTATATGACATCTTTGGCGTCATCTCAACATTCTAAAAGTTTCTTCAAAAATAAAATTTGCAATCAAAAATGCAAAGAGGAAATTAATCAAAATTTCTTTATATATTAAAATATATAAGAATATAATAGTTATTTTGAATAAATTATGTGACTATATTTAATTCACTTCACGCAAACTTAGAATAACAAAGTAGACTGCACAACGCCAAAACCATTTTACCTATAAATTATTTTATATTATCTGTTACAATCTACAACAGTTAATAAAGTTTAGAATTTCTTACGTTAATGTTAATATTGATAAATAGAAATTATTCCAGACATTGTTCATTGTAAATGCACTTTTGTACGAGATTAAACATGATTATTCATGAAATACTGTTTTTTTTTTAAACCTGGGTTTTTAAAGATTTTTTAACATTTTTTTGGGCTATTTGTCCTTATCGGACATGTCAATCCAATAGTGCCTTTCCTTATGATTTAATAAACGAGCTGGCATAATCGTACCGACGCGATTGCGACTTAATTTGGGTTTAACTTTCAGCTCAGCGAACAGCAGCTCACGTTTTTAAAGTTATTACTTCATTTTTTGGGCTATTTTTACTAAATAAAACGAATAAATTGTTTCCACTTTTTTTTTTCTATATTAACAAATCACAGATTGTTTGTTATTCACACTACTCTAATCTACTTATGGTATACTGACAAGGAAGAACAAAAAGGGAAAATATAACAAAAACAAATGTGTCCCGTTCCAACTACATAAGCAATATGATTTCCACAATATCTAGTACAATGACGTCATAATTAGGAACATTTAACATTTAATTTATAACAAATTTGTTTACGGTTATGAAAATTATATTTGTGAATAAAAACGACAATTTTTAATGTTTTAAACACATTAAGTTTGGTAAATTAACAACTCAATAAGAAATCATATGTGTACCACACAGTGAACACTAAAAATGGACAAACATTTTTCATTTCATATTTTTTTATCAAAACCTTAGCCAAATATTATCGTCTACATTTCAGTCTATAAGTACAATACGAATTCAAAATTTACAATACGGTAAAGTAATTTTCAGCGAAAAGGATCCTTCAAAAGTTATTTTATAAAGAGCAAAAAATTTGAAAGGTTCCGACTCTCCTGCATCTTTTGAAAAATTCATTAAATAATGCAAAGTTACACTATCCTCGGATGATGCTGGCAATATTTATTACTAGATTTTTATAATTCCTCGCAGACGCAGACAACTGCTAGTATTAAACAATTAAAATTTGAAATACAAAAACACTGCCCTGATAGCTAGTTTTATCTTTGTCAAGAATTAATACCCCTTCATGTTCCATGCCAAAACATAATAAAAACTTTTCATCATAGTAAAAAAAGTTTTTGCATTAATAAAAACTCACATGTATGTAATTAATTCCAATAAGGGTTCCATTTTTTCCTATGAGGTACGGAACCCTAAAATTCACATATATGTAATTAATCAATGAAATGTTTATCATAGTTAATAAAACAATACCTTTGATGTCAAATATAAAAATATATACAATCTTAAGTAGACATTATTCGAGTGTATTGTTCAACTGAAGAAGTATACAGATTTGAGTACATTATTGATGTCGAAGTCCCCGCGCGGCGGCACACGACCCAGCACGCTGTTCACTCGCTTCTTATTCTCCGTACCTAAACCTTCACGTGTATCTATTTCACTGAAAATAAAAAAAAAACATTTTTATATTTTGAAAGTATCATAAAGGTTATTAAGGGTTTTTGTTTTCATATCGCAAAATGTATTTTACCTTTGCGAGTAGCTATACCGTTGCACGAGGAACTTGGAGAGGTCCTGCAGGATCGGCTGCGAGTGCAGCGCCACGAATTGCTCGCGGCAGATCTGATAAACAGACATAGAATTACTAATGGACCTATGTTTTGGAAATTATAAAGTCATTAAATTTTTATTTTAAGAAAGAAAGACGCTAATAAATGTGTATTTTATCGTACATTTAAAAAGAAATGTCAAGTATATTATACGGAGAACATTTTAAGTGGAAGCTGTGTGGAATATATAACTTGGTGAGAGTGTAGTGTGACTGTATACCGGAGGTGACGGCTTTGGTATTGTGTGACGGTATGTCGGCGTTGTGTGACGTCATGTCGGCGTAGTATGACGTCGAGTCGGCGTTATATGACGTCATATCAACATTATGTAACGGCATGTGGGTGTGTTCACCTTGTTCATGGTGTCGACGGTGTCGGGATGAGTCCAGTAGCAGTCGTGCACGGAGACGAAGGCGAGTCCGGCGGCGGCGCAATGCAGGCCGGTCGTCATCATATGCGTAGAGTCCAACGAGTGGATGAAGTTAGGCGGGAAAGCGTTGCGCTGCTTCATAGTACACGGACGTCTGGAATACAACGTAAAAAGTTTAATAAATAACAAAATTATAAAATAAAAATTAAGTTATTTAAGTTTGAAAGTAATTTATGTCTCAAATGCAAAACTATTATGGTAAAAGTTATTTTTACAGCGCCAGAAAATAACCTAAAATTTGCAGTTTTCAACATTCGCAATTTTTTCAATATGTCTGATAATAACCACAGCCGTTATAACATGGTATGTATTAGTATGTGGTACTAACTGGTGATGGTCGAGTGGTGCGGCTGCGTGCGCTGAGTTAGCACGCCGGTAGTACGGCTGCACGACAGGCAGACCTAGCGGTGTCACCCACTCCACACTCTCACCACACACCCCAGATATCAATCTGAAATATACAAATATATTCACATTAACACTAATAAAGAATAGAAAATGGATTGAAATATTTTTAAATACTATTAAAAATGCTTATTAGTATTGTTCATGTTTGAACTACATTAAGGCAAAAATATTGTTATGTAAGTTTTTAAGCGAAGAAGAAGAGAAAGGGGTGTGTCAGGACCGAGTCAAATGGAGGTGTGCGGTCTCTGCCTACTACTCTGGGTTACAAGCGTAAGATATGTTGTTTTTTTAAAGGAGTCACTTACTTGGCGCAGTCAGTGAACCAGTCCTGTATGAGCTTGGTGGAGGTGAACATCTCCCGCAGGCTGTCAAACGTCTTCGTAGTCAGGTACTGAGAGCATGACCACACTTGATCCTTGGGGAAGTCCTCGATATCTATATATAAAAATATTTATGTTATGGCCCGATCTATTAAAATTTGGTGTAATCTATCAACAGATAAATATATCAGTAAAAAAAAATTGAAGACTAGCTGTCGCCCACGACTCCATTCGCGCGGAATAAAAAAAACTTTATAAGTAGCCTTTGTACTCTTTTAGACTATGTTCTACATCTATGCCAAATATAATCGAGATCCGTTCAGCCGTTCTGAAGATACCTTCAAACAAACATCCATCCATCCATCTAAACATTTGCATTTATAATATTAGTAAGAAGATAAGATAAACCTTTCAATTGCTTGGCTATCTGCAATCTGGCGCCATGTTTGGTGACTCCATACACAGTGGTCATCACAGTCTGTTTGATAACTTTCCTTCGTACGAAGTTCTCCAGCACGAGCGCAGCGGGTACGCCGGCCGCCGCGTCGCGAGCACGCATCTCTTCCACCTGCACACGAAAATCAACCTTAACAGTATGAAAACAGAGTTCATTTTGTATAATATTGTTGCTGTTGCGTAAATTAGTAGAAATATTTCTAACTAGCAGTTGCCCGCGGCAAAAAAAATCTAGTCATAAATATAACCTATGACACCCGGAGATGGTGTAACTTTCCAACGGTCAAAGAATTTTTCAAAACGGTAGTTTCGGAACCTATTCAAAACACACAAGCAATCAAATATTTCCTCTTTATAACCGCGACTCTTTATCAGTAACCTATATGTTATTCCAGGAAAACCTTAATCAGTAGCCTATATGATATTCCAGACTATATTCTACAACCATGCCAAATTTCATCTAGACCCGTTCCAAAGATACTTTGACATCTATCCATCTAAACATACGCAGTTATAATATTAGTAAGAAGTAAGATTTGAGAGTGACCATTTTAGCGACAGTTGTGTAGACGTCCTGTGGGCGTGGCAGCGGGGCGAGGTTGACTGCGGCCGCGCCCGCCGCGTCCCCGCCCAGCGCCGCGTAGTGCTGCAGCCCGTTGCACGACCCGTCCTGGTGCACCGGGAATCCGCACTCGTACTCTGCACAATATACACAAAATTCAATTTTTTGAGACAAATGCAAGCAGTATTTTGTTACATAAATAAAAAAAAACAATTATAAATATATTACCTTCCGGGTTGGGAGATCTGACGGCGTTGGCGATCTCCATGCAGCAGGCGAGGGTCTGCCAGGGCTCTTCGGAGCGCTGCCACCAGCCCTCGCCGTCCAGCGGTTTGTCCGCTGAGTCTAGGATCTTGTCCATTATACTCTGTGCGTATTCATACCTAAGAAAAATTAAATTACGTTTTACAAAACGAAGATTTTGTCAAAAATAAGCTCATTGAATTCTGTCTCCTTATTCTAAGAACACGGTTAAAATATAAACTTCCGATGAATTTCTTTTAGATTTTTTTATAACAAAGCTATAATATTGAACGATTATATGAAGTTGTTACCTTTCGTCTAACGTGTTATTCTTCATAGTGCCGGTGAGGTTGACAGCGTGCAGCATCAGCCAGCGCAGGCCGCGCGGGCCGAGCGGGCGGCGCTGTGCGAGGCGGAGCAGTGCACGCGCTGCGTCCGCCCCCAGTGCGGACACGTGCGGCCCCACCGCGTACACACGACCACGGAAGTCCATGTTGTGTGGCAACCAGAACATACAGTCCCTGGCAATAAGCGCATATTTAAGGAATAGACAGCTAAATAAGCACCATGTACTCTTCCAAACATTATTATATTTTACATATATGCCAAATTTCAACGAGATCCAAACTCACATTTAACCATCCAACTATCTAATTTACATAATATACAAGATAATAGAAGATAGTCAAGCAACGTTCTGTAGTGGCTATTTTCTCTAACTGCAATAACCTAAATAAATAAACGTAGGTCTTACCTATAATGATTAGAGAGCGATAGTTTATACAGAGCGTCACACCACAGCGAATGCATGTCAGCGCGCGCTCGGTTGATCGCGAGCCGGCGTTTGTAGTTAGTAGCCGCGCTCACCCCGCCCCCAGCCCCGCCTCCGCTGCTAGCTCCGCCCCCTGCGAACTGGGACGCGTCCAGTGAAGACGCCGGGGATGGAATATCCAGCTTCTTATTACCACCTGACCTGTAATATTAATACGACACTAGTATTGAACTAGGTTTTACGTTGTTTTCTATGCGATAAATATTAACTTTCACTACCCCTCCATAGCTTCAAATTCTTCTTTACTCACTGTTAGGCCAACGTTACAACCATCCAAAATTTAATTCGTCCAATTATAGAGCACATAAAATTTATGTAAATACCTGAAAACTTTTATCTGCAGATCTAGGATAGGTTGATTGATGACCCATGGAACCTCTCCTAGCTGGTTGAGGCTGTCCAGCACTGGGTACAGCGCGTTCTGGGGAGACTCTTCTATCCGATTCATTTGATTTGACACGTAAAATGGCAACCTATTAAGAAATTCAACCTTTTACGACCTTTACTGAAAAAAGAATAACTTTTAATTTGTATTAAAAATACTAAACTTTACAACTACAGAGTTAAATGTACTGAAATTATTTGGGCATTTATAAAAAACTAAGTTACATTCGACTTTATACTAGCTATCGCCCGCGACTCCATCTGCGCGGAATTAAAAAAACAATTAGTAGCTTATGTGTTCTGCCAGACTATATTCTATATGCATGCCAAATTTCATCAAGATCCATTCTGCCGTTTTGAAGGTACCTTTACACAACTCCATCCATCCATCCAAACATTCGCATTTATAATATTAGTAAGATTATTTAGTGTTACCGTATGAGCGGTGTATCAGTGACGAGGTAGGCGCCGGCGGAGTGATGGCGCCAGGGCGCGGGTGGAGCGAGTGTGGGCGCGAGGGCGGCGCGCATGCGCAGTGATGGGCGCGCCGCCGCCGCCCACAGCCGCGCCACCACCGGATGCGGCTTCAGTTCCAGACGAACCAGCCAACCCCATGGACGGTGAACCTTGTATACTGCCGGTAACTTTTTCCTGCAAATTAAAAAAAAGTTACTATTTTTTCTCTACTCTCTTGCTCTACTCCACCCTACAAATCTTACTAATACTATAAATGCGACTGTTTAGATGGTTGGATGGATGTTTGTTTGAAGGTATCTCGAGAACGGCTTAATGGATCTTGATGAAATTTGGCATACATATAGAACAAATCTGGAAGAACACATAGGCTACTAATTATATATTTTTTAATTCCTCACGTACAGAGTCGCCGTCGATAGCTGTTAAAAATATTATTTCAAATCTACCCTTTTCTATGGATGAAAATCTCACACTTGTGTTTTATAAAATATTTTTCTATACTATACTTACTGCTTGGCTTTGGTTTTAAATATGTTGACATCTATTTTGACATCATTAATTATGATGTTATATAAAAACTTTCCGATATTCTGACGCATTTCCATTGGCCATGGCGTCTCATCCAAATCCTGTAAAAAAGTGACTCGTTTATATTTTTTTGCTTTTAATCTTTTGTTTTATAAACATTCAACAAACTTAAATTCATAACATTTTAATAACCAGCTCTTGTTGGCATAAAGTCAAAAAAGCCATAAAATCTTGACACATCTTATATATAAAGTTACAATGTTTACAATGTTAGTTACCATACTTCTCCGAAACCGATTTTTATAAAACTTTATATGCATAGTAATAGGTCTGAGAATCGGACGGAGTCGTGGGCGATAGTTAGTTTAAGTATAAAATAATATGCTTACCAAACTAGCACCATCTCTATTCTGATGTTCCAACATCTGCCACACTTGTCGGCCATTGTACGGCTGCTCAGAGCCATCTACCGAGTGACGATGTAAATACCACTCACAGTACTTCTCGTATATCTGCTCGATCTTCTGCAGCACGCCGTTACGTCGGTACTGTTCTATTTGATATCTAAAAGTATCACAATAATCTTACTAATATTATAAATTCGAATGTTTGTATGGATGGCTGGATGTTTGAAAATATCTCCGGAACGGAAAAACGGATTTCTATGAAATTTTCAACACATGTAGAAAATAGCCTGGAAGAACAAGAAGGAGCCGCGGGCGACAGCTAGTAGGTTAATAAAAATAATTAGTTTTGCTAAAAAACCGGAGTTCTGAAACTATCCAAACATTTTTTTAAATACTAGGTGATGCCAGCGACTTTGTCAGTGCAGAATTAAATAAAAAAAACTTAATTGTTTTTCTTTGACTATGTTCTACATCTATACCAAATTTTAATCAAGATCCCTTTAACGGTTCTGTAGATACTTACTAACAAACATCCATCTGAACATACGTATTTATAATATTAGTAATATTTTCTTTTTCCTCACATTCTCTTCGAAAGTACATTTTAAAACATGTTTTAATACAAGTATCACAACATTCGGATGTCACCATTGATATAATAAGTTACATTATAAAAGAGAAACCATATATTTTTAAGTACAAAGTAAGTAATACTAACTTATGATATACTTGAGTTCCGAGAGACCTCTGCAACAATTTGAGAGTAGGGCTGTAACTTTCACTGCCATCAACTAACTTGTAAATTTCACCCATCATTAATTCAACAAATTGATCAACCTGAGAAAAAGAAAACAAAATATAAATAATAACATAATAAATATGACAGAAATCTACATGGTCACTAAATCTTAATATGCGTTACCTCTAAAACTTTCAGATATGGGTACAATGTGATGGCGGAATGTGAAGCATTACTTTGTGACTTCAGAGTGCTTAAGTTGCGTAAAAATGCCTCTTTTATAATTGTACGCCATTCCTCTTCCGTTTCACGCAATTTTGTCCTCTGGAAAAAAAAATTGTTATAATAATAATATATCATATAATATTAATTTATAAATTTAATTTCATTGTAAAATATGTTCTTTATATATTTTCAAAATTGATTATTGTAGACAATTAGCTGTCGACCACGACTCCTGCATGACATTAAAAAAAAACTTAGTAGCCTATGTGTTATTCCAGGCTATGTTCTACATCTATGCCAAATTTCTGCAAGATCCATGCTGCCATACTGGTGATACCATTTAACAAACATCTATAGATCTTTATAATATTATCAAGATTTAAGTTAAAAATAACCATCATAACTTACATATAACTTCACACTGTCCGTTTCAACATCTTGTACAGCAATATTTTGAACTTCAATCTCTCCAGTAATCTCCATATCTAACTGCATTTGACCTTTCTTCTTCATATCTTCTAAACCGAGTAACCCTTCAGCTGGTGAAGTGAGCAAACCTTTTCTATTTGTTGTATCAGATAGTTTTAACTTTTCCAGTAAAGGGCAGTCATAATCGAGTACTGGTGGAGTGTATGAAGGTTCAAAATCAGGTTGCAACCTACGAATTGCGGTTAACACAACTTCACGCTGGTCATAGACAAATTTAGTTTTATCTAATAAATCATTTAATGTAATACCCTGTAAAAATAATGTTGATATAAATAAAAAAAAATTATAACTTTCTTTAATTATAGCTTGACCAAAAACTAATAAATAAGACAATAGAAATTTATTTAATTATAATAAAGATTGACGCTATAAGTCAGGTTTTTTTATATCCGTGGTCAGGCTATACAAGATACAAATTTTAAAAAGAATTATTTACCGTTTCTTGCATCTTTTGATTATAGAATTCTAATACTGATGACTTCTGTTTAATATTACTCCTTTCAATACATTCATATATCGCTGCAAATGTTTGAGCATTGGATATTACTCCATCTTCTTGCATAAACGACAAGAGTGCTTTGGTATTATCTATATTTCCCTAAAAATAAACAATTTTATTAATAACAAAAAAGATCTTTTGTTGTCACTATTTTTTTTAATTTTGCTTTATTTTGGAAGAAAATAAACTCTTGACAATGTAATTTTTAGTGTTCCATTCCACGAAAGGAAAAAAAACAGAACCCTAGTAGGATCACTTTGTTGTGTGTCCATCTGTCTGTCAAGACCCGATTTTATATAAAATTAGGTTTTTAATATTTATTACCTGTGATGCATATCCATGCAGCAATGTGTTGTAAACTTTGACATCCATAACTTTTGGATTATCAGGTGAATGTGTTTGCCTCTTTCTGTAATACTGTAAAACTTGCTGACCCTGCAAATGACAGAAACATAATGGTTTTGTTTTGTAAAATAATAAAATGGCAAAAAAAATCTATCGCACTCAAATAATGTCCATGCCAATGACCTCAAACAGTCAAAAATCTCTAGAAAATTCAGATTTTGATCAAAATTAATATAAATAAATTATAATGTTAAAAGTATAGATAAATAAAAATCTGTGTCATTTAAAATTTTATCAAATTCATATTTCTTTGCAGATATAAACATAGATAAGAATAACCAGACAAGTCACTGCCTTAAATGTAGGTTATCTAGATGCAGACAGATGGTGGAAAAATACAGTTTTATCCATTTCTCTAATACTACCACTCTGTTAGGTTAGGCTCCGAGCCCTTCAGTGGGGACATATAGTGAGCTGGTGATGGTGACGATGAAAAAGTGTTAGTTATTCCTTACCTCTTGTATCATATTAAGTGAGCACAACAGCTGCAAATGTGCTGTGAGCAGTTTGTGCAACGTTTGCTGCTTGCCTTGCTTCTCCAGCTCACGCATGTCCTGCTTCATGTTGATCTCTTGTGCCATTCTACGTTTCTCTTTCATTTTCTTCTTCTTTTGCTTTATCGCCTGCTGGCTGGAAAATATTTTTTTTTTACTAAAATCTGTTCATATTCTGGTCATTCTAAATTAACAAACTAAAATTCAAATTACACAATTAAATCAGAGCATCTTTCCCTCTCATATTATGGTCGTTGACACAAGAAAAAAAAACATAAAATGAGCTAAAATGTGTATTTGTGTAGATCTCTTGAGTATTATGAGCTTATTTAAATAAGGAAATAATACAGTTTATTTAAAAAAATATTCTTACGCTTTCTTTATGTTCAACTTTGTAACATTGAGAGATTCACTGGACCCATCCTCGTAATCATCTCTGGGTTCTATTTCATGATGAAATACAGATTCATCACAAACATCTAATGCAGGGTGTGCTATACCTTGTAATCTGAAATATGAATACAATTAATTAATAAAAAAGATTTCATATTTTTTTACTCAATAAGTATTAATATATATATTTATTAGAAACTTCTTTGACAACTAAGCTTTTCCAATTTTTTTTATTTGCCTCTCAATCTGATTTAAGCAAAGCTAGTCATTGCTAATATAAAAATAGCAAAAAGAGTAGTATATGATTGTTCTGTACTTACTGATAATTGGACATTTGATGCATGAATTCTCTATCATAATTCTCCAGTGGATTATCTACAAATAGCTCTTTGAAAACAGCATGGGGACTCTTTGGTAAAGCTTGAGGCTCAACATCTATATTATCTGGTTTCCTAATTGGTGACATTCCAAGGTCAAATTCCTGTGTCAGTCCCTCATTGATAGCATACCGTAAATCTTGTAAGCGCTGGTCATAGATAGTAGCCTTTCGAAAATTGTAATAACTCTCCTTTACCATATTAATATACTGGCTGGTTTTAAATCTTTCTTCAATTGAAGATATTTTATGATGTGTAAAAACCAAAGCACATTCGTCATCTTCTAATTTTATATCTCTATTAATCACTGGCATGGTTGTGTTCTTCTTTAAAATCTTCTCCTTAACACTTTGCAGTAGTTCTTGATCAACTTTTATGTCATCTTTTTTAGGAGTTTTTTTAGTGAGCTGATGAAGTTGACCAAGTGAAACAGAACTAGAGGCTAGTTTGGATAGGTGTGCAGCATGCAATTTACTGATTGACACTTTCATCTCTGTCATCGCAGTCTCTCCAACTAGAATTATAACAAAATTCTTTGTTTACGTTTGGAAACAAAAACATTCGGAGAGATATTAAAATAAACATTATACCTTCAAGTAGCTCTCCATATTTTTTGTAATTGCTATGTTTTAACTTCTTTTTATGCGATCTGACGCTGGCAGGTTTGGTTGACTGATGCCTGGTAAGAATGTTGAAGTCTAAAACGATGCCGAAAAGTTATGCAACACATAAAAAAGGTTATAAATAAAAACGCAGTGCTTATAAAACGCAGTCTATCTTATGAATTTAAGGTTATTTAACGCCCTTAAATACATTAATTCATTAGATACCTCGATTATGTGCTTGAAGAAAAACCTTTTGACAGAATGAACATTTTAAATCTGAAGCTCGAATAATTTTTAAAGTACAATGGGGTAAACCAATCCCATGAAAACTACTCGGGTAGAAATTCTTGGCTGAAATGAGACGATGCATATCACTTAAGAATAGAATTCACAAATATACAAAATTAAGCATGCCGAAAATAGGGCACTTTTACGAAAACCACGTGAAATTGAAGTTTGAAGTTTCAAAAAATTATCAAAATAATCACAGATAAGTTTGGATAAGTTATTCAGTTCAGAAATTTATTCATCAATGTCATGTGCAGAGACAGAGTATAGAAATATTATGCCAACCAAATTCTAAGTCAAAACGTTTATGGTTATGATTTGTGGCATAACGCCTGGCTTACATTATGCCAATACAGTAGGACAGTAGAGTTGGCCTGGCATGCTTTTCTAGGAAGTGTTTACAATTTGCCAGCGCTGATTTTATGCTGTACTATAATATTACTGGACTGGCATAGTGTAAACCAGAAATAATGGCACTCTGTCGTTAACTGTCAAACTGTCACGGATTTGATTGTTGTGAACTAGCTGTCAAATTTGACATTTAAAAAATCACTTAATAAACAAAATTACAAATATTTTTAATAATTATATTTATAGCTAAGAGAAACTATGTAAAAGTTGAATTTAACTAAGCATATTTTTCATTAATTAAATAGAACTGAGCCATAGTTTACCTAAAACAAACATGGAAGATAAAACTTTTGTTTGTAAGTAAAAATCCAGTTAAATTCTATTACTAGAATCCAATTTACGAACTGATTCGATAATATCTTTGTATATTTAGGGAATCCTGAGCTAGTTACCAAGTTTTTAGAGGCACGATTTGAAAACGAATGGTTATTTCAGAAAAAGAAACAACCATGGAAGTAAGTATGTTATATGCATAATATTAGTGTAATATTGCATTACAAACATAATGAAGTCCCTTATGGCCCAAAAGCCACTAAAATGGAGGGACTTGTAATTCAGAAATTCAATACATATGTAAACAATTCATATTATACATATAATTTAACTATCACTATTTTTGTTATTTAGGGAATTTCATAAAATACTTCTTGAGAATGGATTTCCACAAGAAATGACAATTGACCATGTTAGAAAGAAATGGTCATATACATATGATGTAAGTATGGTTAATAATTAAACTTTATTAAAACAAAACTTTTAGCAGTCATCATGGGATTGGTTACCATTTTTATGGCGTTACTTGATTTTGCAAAACTAAAATAGACAATTGGGAAGTCAAACTTAATGTGGCACTGGTTTATTGATATAAACAATCATGGTTGAATCTTGCAGATGTATAAAGTTTCCAAAAAAACTAAAAACAAAAGTTGGAAGTACTACAAATTATTTGAAAAGAACTTAGAAATATCCAAAGCTTTAGAGAAATATGCATCATGTAAGTATTTTAAGTAATAATTATAGCTTATACTATATATACTCAATGTAATATCCATTGCTCTGTTGAAAGGCCATCTTTTTTTTTTAATTTTACATTCCACTTATAAATAAGGTTAGTTTTTTATTATGAGCAATACTTTTTATGTGTAAAAAAATTATTATTTCTGTCATTATATAAAATTGTTAATTTTTTGGTGCAGGGAGTAATGAGTGGCGATTGAAATTAATATGTTCTATATCTGAGACTAAAAAATCTAAGATGGATTTCCATACAATGTGGAGGTAAATATACTTTTAAGTAATAATTAGCAATTAAACATATTTAAATACTAGCCGTCGCCCACGACTTTGTTCGCAAAAATTAAAAAAAAAAAGCCTTAAAGACTAGCTTATGCGTTCCATGTTTCATCACGATGGATTGACATATTCCGGAGATACCTTGACACACACATCCATCCATTTAAACATTAGCATTTATAATATTAGTAAGCAAAGATTTCATACATTTATTTGTTTCAGGATGGTAGAGAAATCATTGCGAATGGAAGGTTTACCTGAAGATTGTTACATACAGGATTTAAAAGGCTTGTGGCATCACATTAGAATGACATTTCAGGTTATTATCAAATAAATAATATATTAAAGTTTCATCGTAAAAACTGTCTTGTGTGAAGGTGGTTTGGGAGTTAAAAGTACTTGACTTGTAATCTGCAGATCCTGGGTTTAAATCCCAATAAGTACCAATGTGTTTTTCGATTTAAATATGTACATTTATCTGATGTTCTTACGGTGAAAGAAAAAATTGCAAGTTGCACATATCTCTGAAGAAATTCAAGGATGTGTGTGAAGTCAACCCGCACTGTGCAGGCTCCGAGCCCCTCAGTGGGGACACATATAGTGAGCAGATGATGAATATTCAACATCTAGTCCCGGACGACTGAATCATAATACTGGACAATTATTTATTTTTAATATAACTATGTATCAATTGATATATAATATTTATTTGTAGCGTAAACACAGAAGTAAATTAAGAAATGGCACCGGTGGTGCGGATGACTGGCCTCTATATGAACCCATGTTGACTTACTACCAGAAGTTTGAGCCAAGTTATCTATCTTGGATAGAATCGGATTCGCCGAGAAAATTCATCAATGAAAAGAAAAAGACAGACAAACAATTCCAGGGATTTAACAATGAAAGAAAAGAAAATTATACTGAAGAATTTCAATGTAAGTAACTCTCCAATGTCCTTACTTGTGAATTTGCTATCCTTGTCCTTCTCTTAGAAGGAAAGAGATAGCAATAATTTGCTAAAACAATTGAAATTTACTGTAATATAAGCATCAATGATCAAGGCAATCAGTAGGGCAAAGAGAAAAGACCTTATGTTTTATAAGTCTTACCGTAGGTTTCTGACTCCAAAAAAGGACATATCTCACATCTCTGTTTTGTCAAAAATAATGACAGGGATGACGATATGTTTTATACATTTTGTTTTTCGACTCAGAAATCAACGGTTAATGTGGGTCTCTACTGGTGAAACATCCACACGTGTCATAACACATACGAGGATTTCGGAGACATATCTCGCCAATGAAAATCCGCTTTTAAATGTGACGACAAAAAAAACAAACAGTTATCTTAAATACTCTAAAGAGAATTAATTAAATTCAATGAACTAAGAAATAAGAGACAATGGCCTTTGTATTGAACTATTTTTTTTCATTATGAATGAACTAGATTTCGTAACTATCAGCAAATCAATCTTGAATAATGTTAACAAAAATATTGGTCGTTTTACGACATTCCAATTAAAATCGCCAATCGAACACAACCTAATTGATTTTTTTTTATTTAGAAAACATTCCTTTAACATTTTTTACAAAAAATGATGTGACGTCACAAAACAATAATCATTACAATGGTTTTATGGAGGTCAATGGCTCGTGTGATATCATACATCAAACGTTAGTCACTTCTTAAAAATTTCATTTTGGTTAAAGGCAAAAAAATATGTTTTTGGATTGTTAAAATAAACATATTGTCGTCGAGAACTATTACCTATCATCTTTTATTAACATAGCTTCCAACTGGTTATTGTAAAGCAAATATTATAAACTGACTAGCTAAAAAAAAATATTAGTAGCCTACGTGTTCTTCCAAATCATGTTTTCTATATGTCCAATTACACCAAGATCTGTTGAGCCGTTCTACAGATACCTTCTATCAAACATCCATCGATCCATCCATTGACCATCAAACAAAAAAATAGATTTTTTATTATTTCCAGGGTCTAAAGATATTACCGAATCATTTATACAGATTCGTCTGCAGAACGATTGGTTATTTAGAGAAAGGAAATGGGCATGGAAGTAAGTATTATCGTTATTTTGAATCATGTGTTATATCTTAGTATATAAAAGATTTCTTTGTACAGCGAACTGAAGAAGATTATGGCAGAAGAGTATGATTTTCCAACTGTGTTAACAGGGAGGGAACTCTGCAAGAAATGGGCATCGACTTATTCTGTAAGTAACACTTTCAGTGCCACTGATTCGCATTGCGACGTCACTTTTGTACATTAAAATCTTAGTAGCATTCAACGTGTTAATACTATCACACCAGTAACATTTACAAAATTGTGTATAAATGTTTTTTCAAGTGAAATATTCCTTCCGAAAACCACCAAATTTATTTTATTTAAATCTTTTCACTACCCAAATGGACCCATACCATCCTTAAAGCCTTTGAAATCTCTGATATTTTGTACTGTTTAAGATTTTTTAAATTTATTTATACGTAGTCATTTATGACTTAGGAATACCAAAAGGCGAAAGCGACTAATAACAAAAGCTGGGTGTACTACACGCTGTTTGAACTATACCTGGGAGAGGGCAGTATGAATCCTATTATCGATTGTAAGTCACTTTGCAAACAACTTTAGCTTTAGTATAGATGTTTTCAGATATCTTGGCGGCTCTGAAGATCGCGCGAGTTGTGGATAACACAATTTTTGTGTTAGAATGTAATGGGATGTGGAGGGAGGATTGCACATGACCTTGAGCTGCCGATATATTTAATAAGAGTTATACTATAATTATGATAGTCAAAAGATTAAAGATACGAACTTAAGATTATGTGGTCGTAGGTTCGAATCCGACTCGACTATTATCGTGAACTAACACAAGTTAGAAATAATAGTAAATTTCAAATAATCGGCTACTAAAAATGCTTTTTCTAAAATATATTATGTTATATGATTTGTGTTTGCGGACAGGGCAGGAGGAATGGGTGTTTAACTTGATAAGTTCGCGGACAGATTTGCGTCATCTTTTCAGAAGTACTAAGGATCATATTAAAGGTTGGAGGTGAGTTATTCATTTGTTATCACGACATCTAATCTTATGTCATCAGCTCGCTATACGTCCCCACCGAAGGGCTCGGAGGCTACCCTAAGTTAAGGGTGATTAGGCCATAGTCAACCACGCTGGCCAAGTGCGGGTTGGTTGACTTCACACATATCTTTGAATTTCTTCTCAGATATGTGCAGGTTGCATCACGATGTTTTCCTTCACCGTAAGAACGTCGGATAAATGTACATATGTAAATCGGAAATCGAAAAAAACATTGTTACATGGCGGGATTCGAACCCAGGACCTGCAGATTGTCAGTCAAGTGCTTGACCACTGAGCCACCGACTCTCTCAATCGTATAACCTAACCTAACCTTATCTTACTAATATTATAATATAAATACGAATGTTTAGATGTATGGATGGATGTTTCTAGAAGATATCTCCAGAACTATTCCAAGGATCTTGCTGAAATTTAGCATAGATGTAGAACATAGTCTGGAGGAGCATATAGGCTACTAATTAAGTTTTTTTTTTTATTTCCGCGTGGATTGAGTCATGGGCGATAGCTAATTTAATGAACTCTTCAAATTTTTTACATGATTTTACATTTTAGAAGCTTAACTAATGATACTTTGTTGCAACATCAATGCATTGGTTTACATATTGCAGAAATAAAGAATATTGCTTTGGGAATGAGTTCGATTTACAAATTGTTGATTTTTTTCTAGCCAAATTACAAACAGGCGACAAATATTATTTGCCGGTGACAATATCGTACCAAACTTTACTACTCTATGGGTGATTTATTACTGGATAGGTTTAACTAAGTAGCTAGTAAAGTTCAAAGACAACTATTCTAGTAAGTCGTAAACTCGCTAACCAGATTTTTGCCTCAGCTTTTTATGGTCACTAACGACCACTAATGGCGTACAAACTCAAACCGGACCACACTTATATGCTAATATAATGCACTTAGTCCAAAAGCTATCGAGGATATTACCAAAGTATAAGTATATGACGTATGTAACATAAGTAAACTAGTTGCCGCCCGCGATTTCGTCCGAGCGGAATTAAAAAAAACTAATTAGTGGCTTACGTTCTTCCAGGCTTGTTCTACATTTATGCCAAATTTCAGCAAGATCCTTTAAACAAACATCCGTCCATCCATTTTGTTTATGTTTTCGGTTCGATCCTGTTAAAATCAAAAATTTGATGCGCAATTACGTTGATGCGATACAGTGTTATTAAAATTTATATTTTTCTTACCTTTTTATCGTCACAGCCCAAAAATAACGCGACAAAGAACAGGTTCTTCAAGTGCATGCATAAATCATTTTAGCCCTTTGTTTTGTTTGATACCTATAAGCCTCTTTGTTATCTTAAATAACTGAGCACACTCTTAGCTAAATACAGTATAGATATGACTACATAGATCGTTTTGTATCAAAGGAAGTGGTTCTCGCTTTGTCTATCTTTTACTTTCATCTTACTATGTGTCTTTAAAATCACGTGTAAAGGTAACATTGTCTTTAACGACTTTAAAAAAATTGATTCTCAATTCATCTGTATCTTATACCTTTTAATAGATTAAAACTTTATTAAATGGCTAAAAATTCTAAATAAAGCATCTTAGAGGACCCTGTTGAACTCTTTTCCATAAGCCGTTACGCCTTAACCCAGACGGGTAAGCAGAGATCGCGGTTTTTCGAAAATAGATGAATCAATTTACAATATACAGTTAATCTTAGTATTTAAAAACAAACTTTACTTTGTTCTTTATTTTATTATTACGTACTTTACACATTACATACAACAAAACAAAAATGTTCCGATCAACGTTAATAGCATTAAATGTTTACGATGTCGTTTTATTTGCTGTATAACAACTTCATGTATTTTATAATTATAATATGGTAATTAAGAAACAAAGCAGTAGCAAGCTAATTAAAATATTATTAATAATACGTTTTATTGCAAAAAAAACGCTCTTTAAAAATGAAACAATTTTTTTTTTATTGAAACTTGGTGTCCACCTACATTTCAGCTTGCGAATGAAAAGAATCGCTTCAAAATCGTTACTGTAGCATTCGTTGCGTTATGTTTGGCTCGTTCACGTACCGACACGTGTTGCCGGTCCAAAGGTCTGACATCGACCCCTCCTCTGTCCGGCATGTACTTATGACGTGTACCCTCGAGACAAACAACACTACATTTATGCATACGCTACATCTATGTTCCAAATATACTTAAAACTTTTAAAATAGCTTCTAGAATTATCACGCATAAGTTCTATATAATTCCGTATTAAAATGTTTTCCTTATTTTGCCCGTATCCAATTAATATACTAATGAGCCTTACGTTACATATAAAATAATGTGACTACATTGTTTCTTATTTATATTTTATAGTATATATTATAATGATAGCATTTAGAATGGCATATAGTAATAAACAATATTCGTTATGAATTAATATATAAATACGAATGTTTGGATGGATGGATGTTTGTTTGAAAGTATCTCCAGGACGGATGCAAAGATCACCCTAAGATTAGGCACGATGTGGAACATAATCTGGAAGAACACATGGGCTAGTAATTAAGTTTTTGTTCATTCCCCGTGGACGGAGTTGCGGGTTACAGTTAGTAGTTATATATACTTTTACGTTCATTTTTAATTCCGTTTAAACATCAAAATTAAACCGTATCACTCCATTGCAGAATTACTGGTACATTAATATATTCTCATCTTTCTCATTCTGCTTGAAAAAACTGAGATAGCAACATGTTTTTAAACTGGAGTTTCTGCAGCTAAAACCTACGATATGAGTCTTACAAAGTGTTTCTGTGACCAGTCTTCGTTTAAAACATATTGTTATGTCTGTTTTATCAAAGATAACGACAGGAATGACGATATGTTTTATATAGAGATTTAGACCTCAGAAACCAACCGTAAGGGCAATAGTTTTTTTTTTAATTAATGTTTCCCACTTGATTTAGAGAAGTCGAGAAGAAGTTGCGGAACATCGGTATGCCTATAGACCACAGTCTGTTGGATATATCAGAAATATGGACATACTTGTTGAAGACGTTTAAGGTAAGTTAAATAATAAAAATTGTAATAAAAATAAACAGCTAAATAACTTTCATATCAATTGTTTTGTAATTATCAGAATAATGTGAACTCCAAAAATTTGTTTTTATTTTACAACTTTAATTTCATTTTTTTATTTTTATTATTTTTTTATGATCACAGTAACAATTTTCTTAATGTATTTAGTATGGAAATAACATTTAACAATAGTAAGACTAACCCTCAAGCGTTACCCACAGTAAGGAATCTCCGGTATGCGGAACTCTGAGTGCGATTGTAAACCTCTTTTCCATCTTTTAACACATTCAGTGCCACCTAATTACGAATTAAATTTAATACGACAAAATTGTAGTAGCGTTGAAAACGTTAAACAAATAAACATAAGCATGAAATGTTAAAACTTTTTCATATACATTAGTAATATATTAATTCTCAGTGGAAACAGAAATTTGCTAAACAAGGTCTACTCAACGAGCAATGGCCGTACTATGACGCGATGTCGAGTTACTTTGAATTGGAACGGCAATACAACTTAGAGAAAAAGGACCATAGGGTAGAAGTAGAAGTTACGCCTTTAGAGGAGGATGAATACGAAGATGACATGAAACTACTGGACCTGAAACAGCTGCTGCAGGTGAAGCCGGAGCGCGAGTGTGCTGGACAATGCAGGTCCTGTTTCAATGAGCCAGGTTGTGTCAATGTGTTCCAGGAAAAAGATGAAGACGGCGTCGAATTGGCATACAAGTTGAAACTCATAGGAGGTATCCAGGTATTATGAATTACATCTTTTGACATCTTGTAGATTTTTTTTTCATATAAAGTGGCAAATTCGCAAGCGGCCACCTGATTACGTCGAATTAGCGAAGCAACCGATACGTATAGAGATACGCAATAGCAAACGCATTGACTACCTTTATTCGATGGAGGAATATTTCTCACTGCGCGCCCCCATCTGCCAAATCCACTTTCCCTTCATCATCTTATATATAAAATTCTCTTGTCTCAATTTTCGTTCCCATACTCCTCCGAAACGGCTTGACCGATTCTCATGAAATTTTGTGAGCATGTTGAGTAGGTCTGAGAATCGGCCAACATCTATTTTTAATCCCGCGCGGACGGAGTCGCGGCCGACAGCTAGTTTACTTATAAGAATGAGGTGGGAAAGGAAAGGTAACCAAAATTAGGCTTCCTGCAAGAATATCTTGTGGCATTATTAGTTGCATGTTTGAGCGTTTAATCAAAATGAAGTAATAATTTTCGATGATCTTCGTTCGAAGATTTTTAAGATAAAACTATGACACGATATAATGGTCGTGGAATTTCACAACACCCTTATTGTTTCAGTTAATTTTTACCACATTCATTGATATTTTCAATGAAATGTTATCAATATTGCGCAATTTAAGAAAGTACTAAAATATACAGACACACTTATCAAATTGTCAATACAATTTGGTTTACTGTATTACGTTAGAGTTATTGTTTTGTACTTCAGATGTATAGAAGAAATTCACATAATATCTTCTCTCGAATCTACTTCCAATAAAACTAAGAAATGAATATATTTTTAATAAATTTTTCAGGTGAATCAATCCGATAGTTTGCCTTCACAGATCTGTTTAAATTGTGCGAATCAATTAGAAAACGCTTACAAATTTCGACGGAAATGTCAAGAAATAGATCGTCAGTTACGAAATACTTGTGTAGGAGAAAAGATAAAAGTAGAACATATAGCTGAAACCAATGAAGGTGCGGGAGAAGTTTTGCACAATCGCGGGACTAATAATGATTTAATGGACACGTGTCCCAACGATTATCTTATGTCCATAGATAAGAAACCAAATGTAAAACAAGTTAGAACTAATAAACAAAATGCTATAAGGAAAAAGAGAACTCGCAAATTGATATATCGTTATTGGAAGGTTTGCGAAATATGTGGGAAGCATACGAGCAATCTGGTCGCCCATCTCGATATGCACACGGCTGACAAATCTTACTCGTGTGATTTGTGCGATAAAAAATTTAAATACAAGAGTGGTCTGTTGTTACATAAATCGTCACATAATACTACTCCTAGGAAGACTTGTGAAGTTTGCGGGAAGACATTCCATGTGATGGCTCAGTATAGAAGACATTTTGCGTATCATGCTAACGAGAGGAAATTCAGTTGTGACGTTTGCGGGAAACGGTTTAATTCAATGGAGATATTAAAAGTGCATCACAGGATACATACTGATGAGAGACCGTTCCCTTGTCCCGAATGTGGCAAGACATTCAGAACTGCGGGATGTGTTAGTAGACATAAACGAATTGTGCACAAAAGTTCAAAAACTAAGTAAAATTATTAATTTAATTGGTATAGGTGTTCTTATCAATGTATTATTCTGCAATAATAGCTATTTTGACAATATAATTGTGAATGTTATTGTTTGTTTATTTTATTTCCCTAATATATTGTTTAAGAATCGGGTGCTTTTATTCTATTTTTACGCTTAAATGAATATTTAATGCAAGTTTATTTTAGGCACACCCACGTCAAGATATTAATCTACAAAGTATGAATTACGTGAATAAAAGATTTTTAGTCCTCTCGCCTATTAGTAGTGGGCGAATTTAAAAGTAGGTAAAATGAAAGTAGTTCTATTGTGGATGAGCAAATTTGTGAAAACCAACTTTCAAAAATGATATCATTAGTAATACTCGAGGCATATAGGCGAGTCTCATAAAATGTAGATAGTCTTTGTTAACTTAACCGAAATCTTTGAAGAGCAACGTCCTGTCTTATCTGTTGCTGGCAGTTCTTTGTTTATATTTAAGAAAATTAATGACTTTATGGACAGCTGTTTAATGTTAGACTACCGAAAATAAGATGCTCATGGTAAAGAGTTATAGTGGGAACATTTACACTATTACGACACGACGGGAAGTCAAAGATTTTATCATAATATATTTTAACTTCGAAAAAACTTTACTAATAAAATGAAAAAGGTTTAAACACAGTCACCAAGAGGATTTTTTTTCAGCTAGAAAAATATAAGTGAAACGGTAAGTAACGATAAGTCTGATATAAAATTTTCACAAGTAGACCTAGCTTGTGTTAACAATTTTTTGTCGAGTTGAGTGTCAATGTTTATTTAGTATCTAGGATAAATTAATAAACGACTATTACTTTTGATAAGTTTCGTGGTAGCGTCCTGAAATCGTTATAGTGCCGTGAGGTCGTAACGATGTCGCGTACTGTAAAAGTTCTCGTCAAGGCGCTACAAGACAAGCACGCATTCGTTCACCCTGCATGCACCGGCGCCGGCGCAACCGCAAAGGTTCATCGTTCAGTTCGCGACGGACTGCGCGAGCGCGTAGTAGTGATACGCGCTTCTTGTTACAACGAAAAAAACTGATATCTAAAAATCGTGATTTTTTGGTTTGAATTTATATAAATTGCCGGCGTCGTCATGAAAAGTTTGGTAAGTGACTATTATGCAAACTTTATAATTGCATTAAAATTTAAATTTTTATTAAAATTTCATTAGGGATTTTAAACAGTGTTAAAGCTTTTAAATTGAATCAATAGACATGGGTTACAATAATACGATTTTATTAACAAAAAAAATACGATTGACAATCTTGTTCTGAGAATAACCGATAGGTTGGCAAATTTATTTTATTATTTATATTGTTTTCATCTTAATAGTTGAATAATAAATATTTGTAAGCACACTGTTATGCAGTCATTTATTGCAATTCCGATTAAATGGTTTTGCATAACTATTTAAATTCTTAATCGACGTATTAAAATAATGTTTACAAGATAAACGCATTGATTTGCAAATTAAATCGATCTAACACATAAATAACCATTCACTTTCAAAGGTTTACATACAGCACGTGTAGGTAACGACCTAAAAAAATCAAGTTTCGAAGGGCAGGAATTTCTAGAGTTGTCATTAATTCTCGTCTCATCAATAACACCTAGCCATCGATATGAAAGTTTATTGCCCCGAGCTGCCCTACCGTTTTCGCGCCTTCGTGACTGTCCAATTCATTGTTTTTTTTTTAATTTCTTGGAAAACGGAACGACAATACGCCTTTGTTTTTTTATATACCTTTAAAAGTGTAAGTATGTGACAAAGAGTAATAGAGATACAAAATCTTAATCTTATTTGCAATGTTGTTCAATTTCAAAAAATAAATCAAAAAAACAGATCAAATCACTCGTGCTGAATAGTAGAGTAATCGCTAATATTGAAGTCACTCATTTGACTAAGTAAAGTAGCACTAAGCAATCAACCATCATATAAATCTAAGCGTAAGTTTACGCAATTATCATTATCTAACTACTCTGAGATAAACAGATGAAATAGTAATCATAGTTATTCTATAAACTTATGCAATGTGTGGAAAAACTATTTTTTTAGTTAATTGTTGACTAGATGAATAAAGTTACCATTAGATTCAAACGCTAATCTTTGTCTTTGAGGTCGTTAAATAAAAAAGAAAACATAAAAATGAAATTAAAAATGTTTGGAGCCACCGTAAACAGAAGCATGTATCAATCTAACACGGACTATCAAACCGCACAACAAATTACATCTTTATTTTAAATCTTGCTGATTTTATTTCAATCGTGAGATTTGTTGGTGTAACTAAAAAATGTTTTTTTTATATATTTCAAATGTACATGTTTTCTATGTAAATAACATTGGGTCTACAATATACATTGTCAAAGCTGATTTTCAAAGTAAAGTCCGCGTAAGTCGTGCCCAGCTGCACAGTTTGCTCGTCTGGATTTCGGCCAAGGTCCACACTCAGCAATTCTGATCTCAGATTCCTTTCCCTTTGTCACTAACGTCATCTTTGGGAGATAATTTTAGATATTTGTCTAAATTTGCACATTTGCGAGCTACACTGTCGCGTGTGACTTGATTTTATAAGAGTTATTAGTCTTTGTTATATTCTGACAAATAGAACTGTAGTAGTCAGAAAGCTGCTGTAAAGCCATTGAAAAATTGGCTGTAAAATTAACAAAAATAATAAATCATATTTAAAATTTTGTGATGTTACTAATTTGCGTACGATAAAATTCCTCAAAGTAGATTTATGGATATTATGTGAGTTTCCAATGCAACCAGTAGGCATACAGCAAATGCGTAGGCGCATGAATACTTCTTTGTTTCTTATCATAAGCAAATAATTATGTATGTACGCTATTTAATAATACATAGTAACTAGGAAACGTTTTGCTTAGTTTCGCACGAACAACGAGTCTATTGTAAGCATCCATAGATTTTGCTCCTTAGAATGTATTTAGAACTACTTTTCTTTATTTAGAGTGACAAAAATCTTTAAAACACTGCAAACTGTAACACTTAAACCATGTTTGTTGTCCAAACACAACCTAGCCGTCTTATCTTTACAACTGCAAACATCGCAGACCCATATTTACAAGCGGTGCGGTTATCAAGTATCACCTTTGTTTTTAAATTTAAAAAATCATTGGACGTTTCCAGTTAAGGAAATAACGTATAAAGTTTTATTATATCGTCAATTTCTATTTATAGGAATTAAAGTAAAGTTGCTCCTAACGTCGTTCGCGCGGATTTAAGAAAAAATAGTAATTACTATAGCCTAGGTCACCCGGGGATAGTGTAACTTCCCAACAGTGGAAGAATTATTCAAATCAGTGCAGTAGTTTCGGAGCCTATTCAACGCAAACAATCAAATCTTTCCTCTTCATAAAATTAATATAAATTTATATTTTTTGGGACAGATAACTTCTCACACGTACAAAGAACTGGTAACCAAAGTTTGACTACTCTGGATTCGCGATCTAATCTAACTAAATAATTTTGACTCATTCATTGATTCGGTACAAGACTAGGCAGAGTTTATAGGTAGTGGTTTATTCCAGCTCAGATCAGGCGTGTGTTCCCGTTATAATCAAACTCCGTTATGCATTGCACTACGCTACTGCACCACCCAACCGCCATTTTGATGAACAGGAATATTTTATTCATAATCTGGTTTCCATCAAAAATATATAAACGTAAAACTAAGAAGTAATGTTAACGAACTTTATAGTTATTGAAGGGAAGATTATCTTAGACGCCTTTTTATCGAATCTATAATCTGATTATTTTTAATTAGGGTACGGTTTTCCTGGTTTTCTAATTCGATGTCAAATACTCACATAATAATCGCCCTTAAAGCTTTATTGGTGTATGATTCTTATTGTTTGCCGAGGTGTGTACCTGAAATATTTTCTACAAAATGTTTTTTGTAAATGTAAAATGCAAAAACTAATATTGTATATGTCTACTTAAAGATACTATGATCCAAAATCTTAAGCTTACGCATTTGTAGCTTAAGATATTGGATCTCTCAAGACATATAGAATGTAAATATACGCTCTTTAACTATCTCGTCGGTCGATGAAGCGAATTTCTATTAATACCGCTACCCTTCTTGTGGTGAATGACGTCATAATGTGTTCAAGTATCTCCCGCAATCTAATAGTGAATGCATTCAGATCATGGCAGACGTACCTAAGTTCAGACGTCACTTGGTACACTTCACAATGTCTATTTATGTAACAATATGTAGGTCTATTAGAAGATAACTTATTTCAAGAGGGTGATCTAGGATTTTTTGTTGCACAAAATCTATTTAGTAATGAAGTCCTTAATTTTTTCATCGTTTTTTACGATACATTTGTAATAACTCTATACCATATGACCAAGTATTTCCACATCTGGTCGTAGAAAATGTGTAAATTAAACTGATAAATTTTAGTTATAAAAATGAGATGTTAGACCTACTGTAGAATACAATCGCAGTTTTATCGAAGAGTACTAGTGTGGGAAATAGCTTTTCAAACATACACCTATTGTATCGAAGTTTTGTAATATTAAAAATATAACACCCGATCTGACGAACCATACCTTAACTAAAGGCTAGCGCGTGGTCAATGGAGTTAATTTAAATACACAACGTTAAGCCACTGCGGGCAGGTTTTATCTCGTAATAAGAATTCATTGCGTGCATACATTATTTACGTTACAACTTGCTACAAAGTTTTAGATATCATTAGTAAGAATTATTTAGAGCGAATGGCGCGCTTTCCTAACAAAGTCAAGTGTCAAAGTGATTAGGGACATAAGACATTTTAATAAGGCTAGTGTTGCGACGACACACCGGTACAGTGTCGGATTTTCTTCCTAACAAAACAAACATTTTATAGAAATCAACAACAACAGTTGGCCAGTAACGCGTTGTGATAGCCGACTAAGATCTACAGACGAAAAAATATGAGGAATAAGAAAATAATAGCCTGCTACGATGCTCGTTTATTTATTCATATGAAAAGCGCAGTTAAATTGAACAAGAGCAGTA